CTTAGCCAAGATTTTAACTTCAGGGACCAGAGTAAGTACCAATAGGAAACAAGGCCACTTGCTGTGAGGCAGGTGGCCTCCCCATAAGAATGCAAGGGTACATTATGGTCATGCTTCAGAGGATGACCCGGGGACTTCTGATTCATGTCCAAAGCAGCTTCCACAACCATTCTGCCTTGATCTCAGGAAGATTTGGTGAGGATGACATTCTGGATTGGCTTCATCAGACATTCCTCTGAGTCGAGTTGTCTGACTTTCACCTAGTGGCCAATGAGAAGCTAGTGAAAACCGGTGGGTTAGGATCCACCCCCCATCCCCACCCCCACTGTCCAGGTGGGACACAGGGCTTTGGCTTCTGTCCAAAGCATTGTTCTAACTCGATGAGGTGCTATGGATCAGCTTGGGATGGGCTGTGTTCCCAGCCATATTATTTAAAGAAAATAACTGCCTTCTTCCCTGGATAAACAGCTGTCATGAATAGTAACCTGGCAGGGGCTTAAAAGCCACTAGATTCTGTTGACTTTCAAGATATTTGGCAAAAACAGTAATAAAAATGGTATTTATTGAGTCCTTGTCATTTGTGAGACAGTTTAGTATCCTACACTGTTAAAACACAGACTCTCTGCAGAGTAGGTTTGCCTTGTTATGCCTCATAAGTGAGCTCGGAGCAATAATTGTAACTGACTTCATAAGGTGATTGTGAGGATTCAAGGAGTTAATACAAGCAAAGCCTTTGGGCACATAGTAAACCTTTCATAAGCAACAGCTTTTATTCTTACCAGGAGGCACTGGCTGGCCCTACCGGAACACTGGCATGTGATCTTTAGAACACACCTACGAGGTGGGGCATGTATCAGTGTTGCAGATAGGGAAACAGAAGCCACACAGTTAGGAAACAGCAGAGTGGGGATGGCATTCAGGGCCATTTGTCTCTTGAACACTATGCTATACCATTTGTCCAAGATGGGGAAAATAACACAACTTAGAAAATGGGTCAGATGTTTCAGGGTAGAAATGAGTGTTTGAGAAGCTTATAAGTTTTGTTTTTCCAGAGAGTATCAGGGTGCCAATCTAGGGGGACACAGCAGGAAACATGACTGTGAATCAGCTGCCTGATGAAACAGCCAGGACGGAGCCCACGTCATGGCAGGACTCAACAATGTCACTGAAAAATCAGCCGCTTGTTCCAGTGTGGACTTCCCTTTAAGACACGAAAGGAGAGTTCAAAGAGAATGGGCTACATAGCTGGGAAAGTCACATTATTGAAATGTATTTGTTTTTATTAGCTGTTTTGCTTCAATGAGAGTTATACTCTCATTAGCGTTATACCAAGAATTCACTTTTCACTAATTTCTCCCAGTTTATCATCTGAATCCGGGGTGCACAGGATTATGTTCAAAACACACAGTAGCAAAGCTATATTTATTGCAACATTCGGGACTTCTATATTTAAATCAATGTAATTCATAAATACTTTCTGGGTCCCTCTCATGAGAAAATACTCTTCCAGAGACCACAGTGAACAAGACATGGCCCCTGGCCTCGAGGAACTTACTGTATCTAGAGCTGTGCTGACCAACACAGTAATCAGCAGTCACATGTGGCTATTTAAATTTAAATAAATTAAAGTGAAAAAATTCAGTGCCTCAGAGGCACTAGCCACATTTCAAGTGCTTAATAGCCATATGAGGTTACTGGGTACCAGGTTGAATAGGGCAGATATAGAACATTTCCAACATACTGGACAGTACAGACAGTGCTGCTCTACTGGACAGAGGCAAGAGATCTTCTCGTTCAGGACTTCTGTTGCCCTGACTTTGTGGTTGGAGTGTGGCTGATTCTTAGAGCAACATGTGGGAACAGCACCACTCTTCAAGCTTGACATTTGAAGACATGGATTCGGGTTCTGCTTCTGATCTATATTGACCTTGGGCAGGGCCCTTTGCCCATCAGATGCCAGTCTCCTCACCAGTGAAGCAAGGACATCAGACCATAAGACTTCTATGACTACATCTGTCCAAATGCCCTGTGATGCTGTGAGTGAATTGGTAGAATTCTCTGTGTGTGTGTGTGCGTGTGTGTCACAACGTACCACAGCTAAAAGAAACTGCAGAGAAGAATTCCCATCTCCCAAAATAATTTTGTTTCTCATTTTAGAAATTAAATTTCAAATTCACTCTAATTATCAACACTAAAATTCTATACATATACAGTCTTAAACTCACCAAACTGATTTTTAAAAATGAGATTATTTTATTACTCATCTTTGTAGAATGTCAGGTTTCCTAAAGGAAACTTAAATGTGTTTCTTTTCTTTTTTTTTTTAATATGTACTCTAGCAGTTCAGCTCTGATGCCTCCTTGCCCAGGCAGCGGTCTGTCCCCACAGCAGAGTTGTTAAGTGCTGACAAACACTAAGAGCCAGGCCGTTGGTCTTGAACTCTGGTGAAAGTCTATGTATTAGATTCCTTACAAAAAAAAAAAAAAAGAAAAAAATCATAAAACAGCAAACCCTGCATTATTTCTGTCCAGAAAAAATCAACATTTATTGAGGATTGTCATGAGGTACTTAAGTCCTTCATCTCATTTAAGGGTTGGCCAGTGTTAGGCCAGGCAAAGCCTGTTTGCAAAAGGATGGCTGACCGAAGAAAATTTTCCATTTCCCTTAACTCTAGATGTGTGACTACACTGACCGTTATTTTTAAAGAAATACCATTTCCATTACCTTTTAAAATAACTATCTTAGTACGGTGTCACTCAAGCCTTGGCACTCTAGATTTTCTCATTACCTGTGTTCGTCTTTCCCGTATCAACTGGAAAGCTAACAGCTTCCTCTGTTTTCCTTCTTTTTATCTAAAAGACTGAGAACATTACACGGGACCCACTCCCAGGATGTGGAGCCTTAAAGGGGACAGTTTAGTTCAGAAGGCCCGAAGAGGGTGGGTTTGCTGCACTTTGTTGTTCAAATTGAGCTCCTCAGTGAAAAGAGGCTTCTGCTGTTCACCCTCTGACCCCCTCGGTGAAATTCAGCAGTGAGGGGTTTTCGGTGAATGAGTTGGGTTTGCCTGCTTCTTACCAGTGCGTTGGGAGCTTGGGTCTCTGGTCTGCAAAGTGACGATGAGTAATAACTGTGCTCTCCTACACGACAAGACTGTTGTGAGCAGGTGGACAGCCTGCGGATGGCGCTGCTCCTGTGGCTCCTGCAGTGGGGAAAGAGTCTGGGCCTGGAGTTGGGAAGCAGGGCGGGAATCCAGGGTCCGCCACTTTCTAGCTGCATGACCTCTGTCAGGTCTGCTCGAGTTCAGTTTCCTCTTCAGTAAAACGAGGATTGCAGGCAACTCACGGGCCCTGTGTGAGAGTGACTGTGTTCCTTGAAGCCTGCGTTATGTCGACACTGTCATGCTTCCCCCTTTCCCCACCAGTGATCTTGCAGAAACACAATCCGATCCCCTGTATCATACCCTTGCTTAACACTCTGCAGTGGTTCCTTGTGACTTTTTAGGGTTTGCCCAGAATGCTCCTACTTTTAGCACAGGAAGCCCCACGTCCCAGGATACCCCCCGTTGGTGGGTCCAGCAGGGCAACTGACCTGCTCCCCACCCGCCGTGGTAGGTCTCATCTCTCACCACTAACCTCTGTTCACCTATGCCCTTCTCTGTGCATTGGAATGAACTGGGAGCATTGGACAAAATGCTGATGCCCTGGCCCTGCCTCTTGAGAATCTGATTTCATTGTTTGGAGTGGGGCCTGAGTGTAGGTGTCTTTTTTAAAGCTCCTGGTGGTTCTATAACACAGCCAAGGATGGGAACTATTGCTCTATTCTTGCATGTCTCCAGATACCGTGTGTGCTGTTCCCTGTGCCTAAACTGACCTTTCCCCTGCTTTCCTACCATAGGCTAATTCCTGTTCATCCTCATTCTACTCAGGAGTCTCTTCCTCCAGGCAGTCCTCCCAGACCTCTCTAGGTGGACTTAGCTACATCCCTGGGCTTTCAGACTACCCTGGGCATGCTTTCATCAGAACCCGATCATTCTGCATTGTGATTGTTGGTTTACTCCAACCATCTCCCTCATGAGGTCTTGAGTTTCTTCAGGAAGAGATTTTATCTTTCCTCCTTGTATCCCTGGAGCCAAGCAGGCTCTGGCACGTTGCAGGCTCTCAGTAAGTCCTCAGTGAACAAATTAATCAAGACAAGGCCATCTGACCTCTTGTGAGTTACATTCTAAGAAAGAAACATCAACACAATAACCCCAGTGTATTATGGGAACAAGAGATTAAGGAAAAAACAGATCCGAGTACAATACAATGCTTTAACAAATCTATAAACGTGGACAACCCCTAATATTCAAATTAAAAGGAATTCTTAGTCTTGATCTTTCGTGGGTAATAATTTTTTTCTCTTCCATGGGGAGAAAAAAGACATATTAAGAAATTCCTCCTCCACCCACTTTAGCTATCAATCATAAAACTGTAACTGGAAATGATTTCTCTGACTAAATCATTTTGGATCTCTGTTATTTTCTTTCTTCCTCCTGTTCTTCCCCCAGCTGGCCATCCCTGTGTGTTTGTGGAGAGGCAGGAAGGTTCACCACTAGGGCTGTTTCTGTCTCTTGAAAACTCTTTCCTCGGCAGGCTTTCTGATCTTCAAAGGGGTCTGTATCCGATGTGACCCTACTGCCTAACCGTCCATGCTGGGGAGGGAGAGTTGCGAGTATTTTTGTCATGTTGACGACTTGCATATTTGGACAGCCGGAGAGTGCGGTCTTCACTAAATCTGCAGGGACGAGAGCAAGTCAGTGTTTCTAAGGCCCTTTCACCCCCAAATTTAGACACATTGAAAAATTCACACCAGACCCCAGGGTTAAGCAAATAGTACATTTATAGGTCTCTTTGCATTTGACGCATCCCCTGGGGTAGGACGCTGTATCCTGCCTTTTTTTGCAGTTGAGTCTTAGCGATTGGTGTTCCTCAAACTCTCTCAATCTTTATGATTATCTGCAGTGCTTGATCCTGGATAAGTTTGAAAGCTACGATGATGAAATTCAGCTCACCCAACGAGCCCTGTCTCTGCTGGAGGAAAACAGGTTCTGGGCTGGCGTGGTGTTCCCTGACATGTATCCCTGGACCAGCTCCCTACCACCGCACGTGAAATACAAGATCCGGATGGACATAGACGTGGTGGAGAAAACCAACAAGATCAAAGACAGGTGATGTTTCAGACAATCTCAGAAGGCCCTGGGCATCCCCAGGGATGTATGGGGCAAGGAGAGGGGACTCCTCTGGGCTTAGGTCACCCATCTCCTCCTAGGGGCAAGAGGGTTACTTGGAAAGGCATAGAAACACTTTGGTATCAAAGAACTAAACTAACCAGTTGGTGAGACCAGGATGGCTCAGCTACCCTGTCTTCACACCCTCAAGTCATCACTTGTCTCTGGCTGGCCTTTGTGCAACTTGGAGATGGAAACCTCTAGGTATTGAATTATCTTCACATAGAGATTCTGCAAACAGGGTTTCTCCAGAGTCACTGGGAAATTACGTTTGGTGCAGAGTAAGGGATTGAGACTGGACTCAGCCTATAAATCAATAAAATTAAGTTAAATAAGAGGAAATAAGAAATTTTGTGAAGCTCATGGTAGAGGCCTTGAATGAAAGAAATTGTAAGTCATGTTGTGGCTAATATTCACAATTGAGATTTAAACTGTGAACAGAATATAGAATCAGATAGCTTGGAAAAGATTGGGGCAAAGCTTTAAGAGCGAGTTCTGAGTCACCTCCTTCTTGTGAAGTGTGAGTGAGCTGTCTGTTCCCATTGCATCCTTTGTCCCTCCCTCTGGCTTCTTCTCAGGTACTGGGATTCTGGTCCCAGAGCTGATCCCGTGGAAGATTTCCGATACATCTGGGGAGGGTTTGCCTATCTGCAGGACATGGTCGAACAGGGGATCACGCGGAGTCAGGCCCGGGCGGAGGTTCCAGTGGGAATCTATCTCCAGCAGATGCCTTACCCCTGCTTTGTGGATGACTCGTGAGTCAGAGGCTCCCATTCTCCCTCCAGACAAGTTAATCAGGATGCTGGGTGGGGTGGGGCTGCTCCCCAAGCTTCAATCTCTTTGAAGAGAAACCCAGTGACTGGGGCCAGAGTGGGGAGAATGGAGCTCTGACTGAGGAGCCTGCTTCTCCCAGGCTCCAGGCAGGGCCAGATGGGCCGTTGAAGTGGCAGGGAGAAAGGAGTTGGTCTTGTGGGTGGAAAGGGAAGGTGAACATGAAAGCAAGAGAAGTAGGGTTGGGGGAGGGGGCAAGGGCTCTTTAAATTTCCACTACGTAGTATGTTTGGTATGTAGAAGGGTTCTGGTCAGAGTGTTTACCCAAAGATTGTCAAATCAGCAAATTAGGACTCTGCGTTGCAAGTAGGTCCGGTTCCTAGGAGCCTCAGATTAATGCAGCTCCTTCCCCAATTAACATTCCCATGATGTATGCTTAATGAAAACGTAGAGGAATGTGCTAGATGTGCGCAGGCCCTGCCTCCCTGCCCATCTATCCCCAGGCCTGTATATTTGTTGGCCAGTGGCAAGCTAAGCAAGTAGCCTACTGTTTTCTAAACATGCATTTAGGGAGTGGTAGAGAGAGGGACAGAAAGAAAGACAGGGCTGGGAGGGCTCATGGAACATGGTGGTTGGGGCAGATATGCTCCCAGGACAGCAGCAGAGACCCACAATTGGGTTACGGATTCAACTCCTAGAAAAAAACTGGGAGGTTCATCATAGTGTACGTGTGTGTCTGCGGAATTCAGAGAGGAGAAACAAGCACAGCCTGATGATAGGAAGTGTCAAATTGCCAGCTGGTGAGATGGTAAAATAAAGGCCAGCATGGGCATAGGCAACTCTCTCTCAACACCCTAGTCCAATTGGTTCTCCTTGCTCAGCTCTACAGAAAACTAAAGAGATAACAGTGGCCCTTCTGTGTTCAGTTTGGGTTTAGACAATAAGCAGAGATGGGAAGTGGAGCCAAGGGCAAAGGCCCATTTCCACTTTTAGGATCAAAATGGGAGTGGCTGGCAGGGAAATGGGGTACACTGAGGAGACAGTAGGGATTCTGGCCATTCCGTGTGGGAGAGCCATCTGGTGGCCAGTCCAAGAAGTGCAGGCTTTGTGACTTGATGGTTCTCTTCCCTAGGGCCATCTTGAGTGAAACCCTCCCAGGCTGGAATCAGGCCCTTCCTGTGACACCCAACAGTTTTCAATAGATAGTAATCCCAAAGGCTTTACTAGTAAATCAAGCACAGGGAAAACATGTGTGAAGTTCACAATAAAGCAATTCTAGAATATTAAACCTACCCTGCTTGCTGGAATGGATGTCCATGAACCTACTCCACCAGTACATGGCTGGTGGAGTCAGGGGCTATTGCATCACTGATTGATTTATTGATGGGCCAGTTGCCTTCTGAAAGTGCCATACTGATTAGTTATTTTATGCCTCTTCTTGCATAACTGGAGTTTGATCCTCCAGGGCAGACAGTGCTGCACTGGCTGGCCCCCTTGGGGAGCCCAATTATTGATCTAACCACCACTAGTTCCCTTTGTGGTCCACTATCTTGGGCTTCAGTGTCAAATACCTATCTATTGGTATAAGTATGTACCTATCTATTCCAATCACATCCCACATCATCAAGTCTGCAGTCCTTTCCTGCAAGATCTTACAAGGAGGGTCTATACTGTGTAACGTACATAGTATGATATTATTTATACATTTTAATTATAGAGCATTTAACTGGGCTAACCAAAAAGCCACCATCTTGCTCTAAAGAAAAAGTAATCTTTCAGGGCAAACATGGCATGTGTTAAAAGATTCAAGCCCTTTGAATGCCCAGTGAAGATTTTTCTGCCTTTCCCTCCACCTGGACTTTGTTTCTCAACACATTCATTCAACAAACATTTACTCCACCTCTACCAGGTACATTCTACTATTCTGCTTCTCTCCTCTCGCTTCAGTTTTATGATCATCCTGAACCGCTGTTTCCCTATCTTCATGGTGCTGGCCTGGATCTACTCTGTCTCCATGACTGTAAAGAACATCGTCTTGGAGAAGGAGTTAAGACTGAAGGAGACTTTGAAAAATCAGGGTGTCTCCAATTCAGTGATTTGGTGTACCTGGTTCCTGGACAGCTTCTCTATCATGTCAATGAGCATCTTCCTACTGACCATATTCATCATGGTAAGCCAGATGGAGAAGCTCCAAAAAATCTTGACTAGTTTTGTTCCTCCCACCTTTTCTCCTGTTAATGAACTCATTCCTAGATTAGTCATCTAGCCACCAAGGATAGCATGACATGTAGCTGCTTGGCCATTTCAGCCAAAGTGGAAAACACTCAGAGAGACAAAGTCTCCCCCAAGGAGCCACTGTATCATAGCATCTTCCCTGCTCCCACTTCATGCCCAGGGAGCCACGGTCTACATAGATTACCCAGCCCCATTCCATGAACTATCTGGACAAGCTGCTGTTAGCAGAGCCCAGCACAGGGTGACTGTATGTGCAAAGGGTTATCTCTTTCCAAACACAGAAAAAGTGAGTACAAAGAGTGTTTTCCTGGGATTATTGTCCCAACCACTAGCTGGGGTTGGAATGTAGAGAGCCTTTTCAATGTATTAGGAAAGGAGACCTAGACTGTTTATTAATTACCATCATGGTCGCACCATACATGGCTTGACCAAAGAACATTCTGCCGCTTGCAAACCCTCCAAGACCTCTCTGTTTTAAAGGATGGAATTTGGAGTCGATCCTTTCTTAGTGATAGGAGTTTTTATAGCCACAGCATGCATAGGTCCATCCTTTGCAAACTTGCAGCTCCCTTGCAAGGTAGACTTGGAAATAAAACATTATTTCATAGTACACTATTATCCTTCATTTTTAGTTCTTCCACAGTAGATCATCTTTTGTACTTGTTGAATGATAAGGACATAAATTTAGATAGCTTTTGTATTTATTTGATGGGATTTGGTATATAAGCTTTAGACTTCAGGCTTTGCAAGCTCCTGATATAGTGCCATCAAACTTGTTCTGCCTCTTTACCATCGTCATATTAAGTGCCCGTTTGCACTAGGCAATATGTCTGCTGACTCACAGACTCTGGCTAAGTGTGTCCCATCCCATGCTGGACCATACCTGGTGCCTACCTGATCCAAGAATGTTCCATCACATATCCTGTCTGACCAACACAAGTCCAGTTAAACCAAAGCCTGCCCCTTCTCTGAAGGGTTTTGGTTTTAGTGTTGCACTGAGATCCAGTGAGCTGTGGCCTTAGCCAAACCTTGTCCTGGAGCTCTATCAAAACCAACGCTGATGTAGAGGTCCTTCTACTCAACCTGACCCAATGCAGATGTGGCTTTAATTATGCAAAGGGTCCCAGAGCTCCACAGAGATGAGGGGAGAAGCTGAATAACTTTTCTTCCTCTAGAGGGTCCTCGTTCCTTTCCATGCTTCAGTCTGCTCCTTTCCCCACTACCAAGGCATTTTGTGTCCTCAGAATTAAAGGAGTCAAAATACATAAGCATCTGACTTATGCAAAATGCATAAACATGCATGACATCTTGCAATGGCCATGAGACTTGTTGCAGATAAGTGACATTGAGATCTGCCTTCCTAAGAATGGGCATTAGGACTTCAAAGGTCTTAGGATGTGAGGTAAAGAATGTTCACCAAGTTTCTTGCACAAAGGGGTTTCTCCTTGTGGGAACCAGAACATTGTTCCAGTAATGACGGAAACAGAGCTTTCCACATCAAAATAGGATTTTCCTTTGAATGACACTCCCATCTTTCCCTTGCCTTCCTTCCCACCTCAATTATGCAGGAAAGAAGCTGGAAGCTAGGACAATGGGAAGGTTCCATTGTTACTCGAGCTATTAAGAACAAGAAAGTAAAGTGGTCATTAGAGGAAGCCAAGGCCAGTGAAATTGTTGGGTCAGCCAAGTGACTTTCATCTCTGCCTTAAGTCAATGAGAAATTATATAGCCCTAGAAGTTTGTAGGACTTTGCTTTGTGCTGGAATAAGAAATTGATTTCATTCTTCTCAGAATAGCAACAATTGTCTTAAACTTCTTCCAGCCAAAAGCCACATGTTCAGCCACTTTTATGGAGTTGCATGTGATTAAGGAAAAGGAATGAGCTTTCCAGGATGATGTGGAGAGCTCTTGGACACAAAATCAGGAGCTTTGAGTCCTGATCTGGACTTTTGTTTAGATTTCCTCAAAGTTTGGTTCCAGCTAAGCATGGCTGTCTTCCACCTCCCTTTGCCATTTGTTTTGTTTTTTTTTATTTTCCAATCTGTTCTGTCAGCGCCCCACAGGCATGAGAGCGTGAATGCAGGAGAAATGATATCAATAGCAGAGAAGTGGCACATTTGTTCTACTCAGCTCTCACATGCCCATGACAGATATTGCTCACTGGTTTCTCTTCTCTACTGAGAGGAACCCAGTGCTTCAAGGCACCACTACCAATTAATCAGAACCAATTCAAGAGATCAACCTATTTGTCCCTTTAGGTTCCCGAGAAAAGAACAGGATGATCTATATATATTTGCAGTTACGTGCGAAGGGTAAAAATCCTTATAGAATGCCTATAGCAAAGGAGAACCAAGAAGGCCTAATAAATCTGAACATCACCATTTATCCTGTAATGTAACTGGGCAGGAGTTCACTTATTAACAATAGCGAGTTTGGTCCTATTTTCTACATATCCAAGTTCATTGACTCATTAGTTAACATGGAAGATACTGAGTATTGCCCACAGGTTCTATGAAATTTATTTGTATGACATTGTGGACGGGGAGGATTAATCCACATCCAAATGATGTGGATTAATTACTGATATTTTCACCTATGTGAGTGGCAAATCCCAGAATACAAGTACAAATGATTGAGTCAGCAGGCCAGGCCTCGGGCAAAATGTTACAGCTTGTTGGGTGGTCTCTCACCTCCCTCTTTTGTTCCTCATCTACTCAGTAGATCCCAGGAGCTGTTGATGCTTCAAGACCCCGACGCAGATCTTCCTCCCCTGCTCTAGGCTTATTTCTCCACACTGTCCCCTTCCCACAAAGGATTTGCTTACTTAACACATAATAATTGCTGGGTATTAACAGGCAGCCTAATGTGTTACCCCTCTAAGGGAAAATGACATAGGATTCAAGGAACTCAACACATTGAGTCTTAAATACGGAAATTTAGACCAACAACAGGATGGTGGGGGAGATCCCTCTGGGGCAGAGGGTTTCTGAAGGCCTTGGAATCATGGCACATAGGTCACCCCCTGAAAAGGATGGTGCCCCTGGATGCAAGTGGAAATTACTGACTCAAGTGGCCTCTTTGGTTTCAGCATGGAAGAATCCTACATTACAGCAATCCGTTCATCCTCTTCCTGTTCCTGTTGGCTTTCTCCACTGCAACCATCACGCAGTGCTTCCTGCTCAGCACCTTCTTCTCCAAGGCCAGCCTGGCAGCAGCCTGTAGTGGTGTCATCTACTTCACCCTCTACCTCCCGCACATTCTCTGCTTCGCCTGGCAGGACCGAATGACGGCTGACCTGAAGATGGCTGTGGTGAGGGACCTTGGGCTCACCCTAGCATATGATACGTTTCCTCTGAGGGGTCTGTAGCAGTCCCAGAGGACTGGCCCAGCCTTTGAGGGATCCACTTTGCCTTTTGGCTCAAAGGGACCTAGGCTTTAAAGGCACATGGGCAAAAGTGAGAGCTGTCTTCACCCTGAGCGACCTAACAGTTCCTCCTCACCAAACCTGCTGTAGTAGTCTGCCCTGGCAAGTGATTGAAAGCCAGTGCAGCTCATGTGTCCCTTTGTGTAGCCACAAAAGGAAAACAGCTGGGCCCATTTCACTGAGTTTTCTTTTCCTAGTGTTTGAGAAGATTCAGAATGGAGACAGCTTGCCTCCTAACTGTTCTGTCCAGAAAGATGTTCCCATGAATTAAAAATTTTTGTTTCTCTCCAAAAGAACTTGAATTGGGGCAGCTCTACAAAGATAAAGTGTCTTTATCATGCTCCACCATTCACGCAGAAAGGGGTGCAGAAATAAGCCAGTCTGGAATCAGGCTCTCTTGCCAGGAGAGGTCTCCAGAAATTGACTTTTGATTGCCTGAGAGACTTTTTAGTTCATGATTCCCAAACACGGTCTTTTTCTCTAATTGTTTTCAAATGAGCCATTTCCACCCTCTCATTAACGAGCTTCTGGGCCCTGTAGGGTGCAGTTTTCCTTGTCCTTCAGAATCTCCCTGTCCACAGTTCTTTGTGTGATGGAGTTGAGAAAGGACTACCACCTGCCTCTTATTGGGGAAGATCTAAGGTCCAACTTGTTCTCACAACTCAAACTTATTTGGTTCCAGAGCTGCCAGGGCATCTGCCTTTTATTTCTCATGTTAAATAAGAAATTAATTGCTGCCATTTATGGCACCCAATTTTCTAACATGATCACAATGGGCTAGTAGCAAGAAATCCTGATGACTCAGCCTGTGGGCAGAGTTGGGCTGTGTTGTTATACTGGGTAGACAGTTGGTACTTTGAGGCCACAGCTAGCTTCTTGGGCATGTGGATCTGCCAGGAAGTTATAGTTCTGGCAGCTGTGGGGACCAGGGCTGGGCTGAGATTTTTTAAATGTTTTTTGTGAATATATAGGTAGAGCATCCCTTCCTTTTGCAGAGAGACACTCTGAACCCCACCCTGGGTCCTCCAAACTACAAGGAGGCCTCTGAGCAGAGGAAATGGGACTAGCCCATCCCTCTGCATGTGTTTATGTGCTTTCTTCCATGCCAGAGACCACTCATGGGAGCTTGGCTGGGGAACTTCCTCTTCAGACTTCCTTCGGCATGCCACCTAGTCAGTTGACTTGTACTCTCCACAGAGAACCCAAGAAAATGATTGTCCTCAGTGTGGAGATGGGAGATAGTATAATCTGAGGCTTTTCTGGCCTCTCTGACAGACCTCAGGAGATCATGAGACCATCCCCTGCCTGGCCCCCTATCCTGCCCTAGGACACTGATGACTTTGAGGACACTTCTAATGGGATTCTCACAAAGCAGCTCAAGTTAGCTTCTTTGTTCTACCAAGAACTGTGTGATCTTAAGAAAGAGGAAGGAAGAAGGGGGAAAAGGTAAAAAGGTGAACATGAGGACATTTGATCTTTGGTGTGCTATAATGTGTAGTGTTTGTCTTCCCCGTTACACAACTGTGTTCCATGGAACAGGTGAGAGGTGGCCCAGTGGGTATTGGGCAGGGGTCCCTGAGGCCTGAGAGGATTCCCAGAATTTTCTTCCTGTGGGAAGACTACCTTAACTCCTCCCTGGAGTAGCCTTACATGGGGTCACAACATGGGCCCTCTTTTGGCCCTCCTCCCTACCTCGTGGGCTTCTGGGTGGGTGTGTCCAGTTGGGTAAAAGACCACTCATCTTGAGTGTCCTCTTTGCCCCACCTCAGAGCCTGCTGTCTCCTGTGGCATTTGGGTTTGGCACTGAGTACCTGGCTCGCTTTGAGGAGCAGGGCCTGGGGCTGCAGTGGAACAATATCGGGAACAGCCCCACGGAAGGGGATGAATTCAGTTTCCTGATGTCCATGAAGATGATGCTCCTTGATGCTGCTCTGTATGGCTTGCTTGCCTGGTATCTTGACCAAGTGTTTCCAGGTAAGTGTCCCCCTCCATAGGGTAAAGGTAATTAGGTTCTTCAGATCCCCAGCCCTCTGCCTTTCATCTAGTTTAAATCTTATCCTTTCTAAGTTCTTTCATTGTGGGTTCTCAGAACCAGCATTTGAAACTTAAATCCAGGAGTCAAAAATCCATTAGTGGGGGCCGGCCCCGTGGTATAATGGTTAAGTGCACACACTCCGCTGCTGGTGGCCCAGGTTCAGATCCTGGGCGCGCACTGCTGCACCACTTGTCAGGCCATGCTGTGGCTGCGTCCCATATAAGGTAGAGGAAGATGGGCACGGATGTTAGCCCAGGGCCAGTCTTCCTCAGCAAAAAGAGGAGTATTGGCATGGATGTTAGCTCAGAGTTGATCTTCCTCACAAAAAAAAAAAAAAAAAAACATCCATAGGTGAATGCTGTTCTCTCTACTTTAGAAACAGACCCAGAATCTAATCCTTTGTCACCACCTTTGCACAAATTCCCTGTTCAAGCCTCCTTCTTCCATCATCATCTCCTACCAGTCTATTCTCCACACTGTATTCAGAGAGATCCTTTCAGAATCTAGGTAAGATGGTGTCAACCCTCTGTTCAAATCCCTCCAGTGGCTTTTTTTCTTGTTCAGAGTAAAATCCAGTATCCCAACCCTGGCCTACAAGATGCTTCATTCTTGGCCTCCAAACATCTTCCTCATCTCATGTCCTTTCCTTCTCCCGCATGTTTCTCTGCTCCAGCCACACCAGCCCCCTTACTGATTGTTCTTCAACACACTGAGTACATTTCCTCCTCAGGACATTTGCTCCTGCTATTCTTACTGCCTGGAGCATGTTTTTACACACACGCGCGCACGCACACACACACACACGTATCTGCAGGCCTGCTTCCTCACTTTGTTCAGGTCTCTGTTCAAATGTCACCTTATCACTGGGATCTTTCCAGAATGAAAATATCTAAATATCTCTCCCTATAAAAGTAATATTGCTTCAGTTCTCCTGTCCCCTTTTCCTACTTTATTCTTGAAAAGTCACCATCTGACATGATGTATCTTTATGTGTTTGTTTGTTGACACTCTACCCTTAGTGGAATATGGGCCAGTGAGAGCAGATCCATGGTCTGTTTTGTTCACTATTATAGCCTCAGTGCCCAGAATCGTGCCTGACTCTAGGTGGGCACTGAAGGAATATCTGATCAACGTACAGCATGGAAAACCAGCTCCTGAATCAAAATTGGCTGTTTGCACAGTTTTGTATTTGCTTTGCAGAAATCAGATTTTCCTTCAAATTAGTATTTCCTGGTGGCTGGTAGAGAAGTGTCACCTCCAGCTGAGTGGTCTCCAAGTCAGCCAACAGCCACTTTGCTGTATAGCAGCTGTGGCCTGGCTCTCGAAGCTGTGGCCAGGAGCAGACAGGGGAGAGTGAGACTGGCCCCGGTCCCTGGGGAGGGAGGAACTCATGTCTCTCAGATCATTTCAGGGCAGCCTTTGTTGGCAGAAATATGTAGGGAGCAACCGTGGCATACGAGAAAGATTGCCAGGCTGAGTCAGGGGGCCTGGGTTTGGATACTAGCTGTGCAACTATGTTAGTTTCCTCAGGCTGCCATAACAAAGTATCAAGAAGTAGGTAGCTTAAAACAACAGAAATTTATTGTCTCATGGCTCTGGAGGCTAGAAGTCCAAAATCAAGGCTAGAAGTCCTGTTGGCAGGGCCGTGCTCCCTCTGAAACCTGTAGGAGAAGGATCCTTCCTTGCCTCTTCCTAGCTTCTGGTGGTTTTTCAGCAATCTTTGGCAGTCCTTGGATTGTAAATGCATCACTCCCATCACTCCAATCCTCCATCTTCACATAGCGTTCTCCTTGTGTGTGTCTGTCTTCATATAGCCGTCTTCTTATAAGGACACCAGTCATATTGGATTAGGGGCCCATCCTACTCCAGTGTGACTTAATCTCAACTTAATTAATCACATCAGCAGTGACTATTTCTAAACAAGGCCACATTCTGAGGTACCAGGGGTTAGGACACTAGTGTTTATTCTGATACCACTTCTGATACCAAATGTGTCATTTTTTCCAACATCAACCAATTTTCCATCACCAACTGGGTGTCCAACAATTCAATTCAATTCTGATAGTAACTACCCAGAATTAGCACAGATCCTACAGGTTCAGTCCCACAAGACTGCCCCCACCTCAGATGACACAACTGCAGTGCCCAGGCCACCCACACTTTTGTTCACCTGACTACAAATTCAGGGGTTCTCCTGACCCCTCCTCAGGTTCAATGATTCACTAGAATAACTCACAGAACTCAGGAAAGTGGTCTGCTTACAGTTACAGCTTTATAATGAAGAATACAACTCAGGAACAGCCAAATGGAAGAGATGCATAGAGCGAGGTACAGGACAGTGATGCATGGAGCTTCCCTACCCTCTCCAGGGGCTTCATTCTCCCAGCACATAGATGTACTCACCAACCTGGACGCTCCCTGAATCTCATTGATCAAGAGTTTTCATAACCCAGTCTCCAGCCCTCTCTTCCCCTCCCTGAAGGGGGGGGGCTGTGGCTGAAAGTTCCCTTTCTCTCTTCACATGTTTGGTCTTTCTGGTGACCAGCCCCCAACATGAAGCTATCTAGGGACCCCCACCTGAGTCACCTCATTAGCATAAACTCAAGTGTGGTTGAGAGTGGGGCTCATTATGACTAACAAAAGGCACTCCTATCACTCAGGAAATTCCAAGGGTTTCCGAGCTCTATGCCAGGAACTGGGGACAAAGACCAAGAATTATTTTGTATTATACCACAGACCTCAACGTATCTGTTTTTTGGAGGGTGGGAGGGGGACACAATTCAACCCATAATGGTGACTTTGAGCAGTACACTTGACCTTGCTCAGCCTCCCTTTGTTCCCTCTCACTGGGCCATTAGAAGGAGATATAATAAGTGAAAATTAGTTGGATTGCAAATGAAATTTGTGCATAAGTCAAGAGCTTTATTTTAGCCAAGGTAAAGCTTTAGTTTGATCAACAGTAATTTACTGCGCAGCACCAGCTTCTGGGAAAAGAGGGGTTGAAAAGACAGACCCAGGCTTGCCCTTGAGGAGCTTAGGGCCTAGTGGCAGCCATAAAACACAGGACTATTAAATAAGCAAAGACAATGTTCTCACAAGATCAATATTTTGTAGGGAACAAAGTCTGCTAAGAGATCTGGACTAGAAATTTGGGAGTCTTTTCCTTGAAACCCAGATAGATCCAGATAGATCTAGTAGATGGTGTGGGTAAGGTGAGTGGTGTCAGAACCAGATCACCTTGTTGGAATCCCTGCATCTCTATTTAATTAGCTGTGGCCTTGGGCAGAGGATTCAAACTCAGTGTGCCTCAGCTGCCTTATCCACAAGAAGAAGAATACTACGAATCTCCTGGGGTTGCTTTGAGGATGGAATTATTTAACACATGGAAAGCGCTTGGAGTAATGCCTGACACGGAAAAAGCATCCAACAATTAGTGATTATCGTTATTATTGTCTAGTAACTGTTGAAAAGGAGCCTGACTTAATTCTTTAATGAAATGTTTTCTTGGAGAACTAATGTCAACCAAGATCATCAGTCTTAGTGTTGCTGGTTCCACTCGACATTGACCTGTTGAGTTAAAACATGTTGGAAGGAGTAGTCTTGGTGGTAGCCCCTGGAGAGCTGTGTAATGGCTTATGAACCACAAATATCTCTAGTTTCAATTTGAGGCTCAGCTAGATAAATTCTAGATCTTATAGAACTGTGGCAAAGTGGGGTTACTTAGGCTTTTTATTTGTCTATTTTTAGGGGACTATGGAACCCCACTTCCTTGGTACTTCTTTCTGCAAGAGTCCTATTGGCTTGGAGGTGAAGGTGAGTTTTTTAAGATTTAAAAATTTAAAAAGTACAAAAAACCCTAATGTTTGAAACTAGCTCCTTTGGCTGTGCGCTGGGTGGGTATGGGTTGTAGAGGCAGCTCTTACGTGAAGTGTATGTTTCCTGATTAGTCTAGTCGGCTGTCTCCTGAGGGTTTTGCTCTGCTGTGCAGTATTATGGCCTCGGGGAGCCCACCTTCGGTGAGTCTTTGGGCCGAGGAGAGTGGCTGAGCACTGATGGACCCTTGTGTCCTGTACAGCTTGTGCCCAGTGGATTAAATTGCCCTATTAAAAGAAGGCCAAACCACTTCAGGGTGCAAATGACTTTTGCAACTTCTCAGTTTAAAGCAAACAGATCCGGAGAATCATGAAGGAACCTTTGCATTCGTCTTCTGCTGCCTCCCCGCCTGCGTTTGTATTCCTCTCTACCTTTTCAAGATATAAATTCATTCATTCTCCCAAAGTAAGGGCCCATCCATAGGCTGGGACAGAGCTGTGATCCTCAAGGCAAACACTCCCAGCCTCTTCTTGAACTGATATTTTTTGTGATCGGGGAAGAGAGCTAAAAGGGCATTTGCCCAGAATGCGTCTTAGATAAAATTTACCTTTCCTACTGAACAGGACAGGGCCCTGAGGGAGAGTTCTAGAAGTGGGGAAAAACCACACACTGTTTTGTGAGGTATAAGAAGGCAGAAAGATTCCTGACCTGAGAGCTGGGGACCCCCCCTGGAGCTGGGAGGTTCTGGAAGCAAAGGAAATGCTTTCCAGTCTGTTTGTTCCTCATCCACCTGCTCTTTACTTTGTATTGTTGGGCCTGGGCCAAGATTTACCCCTTAAGCACTAAGATAGATGTTTGTTTTCTCTAGGGGATTAGCCAAGGGCCTTTAAAAGGCTTGGGTGGGTTTTTTTTGTTTTGTTTTGTTTTATGGTTCAAACAAACAGCACTTTAACCACTCAGTATTTTTCCATTATGTTGGTTTGTCTGTCTTGTCTATCTATAAACTTTTAAATTTCTCCTCTAATAAAGTTATAATCCATCATAAATGGGAATTTTCAACACCTGTGTTGTGTTCCTGGCATTCTCATTTCAATGAGTATCAGGACCTGTGGGCATTTTTTTTCTCTACAACCTCAGCAGATATTCTGCCCCTCAAAAAAAAAAAAAAAAAAATCTTAAGACAAATGCGCTCCTTCGAAAATGAATCACGTATACTTTTGCTGACAGAAGCCAAATATTTTTCACCTGTCTCACAGGCTAGACTGAAATAGATTCCTAAATCTCTCTAAAATCAGAAGAGCTGTGTTTCTCCAACTAACACCCTCCTTTCACAGATGAAATGGTGCCCAAGAGACATCCAGTGTCTTGCTCAAGTTCCAGGTGGTCACTGAGACAAAATCTGGAACTGAGACACACGTTTCCTGGCCAGGAACTCACTCCAATGACTAAACTATTTAGAAAAATCTCTCCCCCTATTTTGTTACATGTTAGTGCAGTATGGTAGCTAGTAGAGTGATCAGAGGAATTGTGGGCAATAGATTTAAAAATCCTTCAGGAAGCAGAAACAGAAGTACTGGAGGTGGGGGCTCCCTGACCGCCAGGCCCATTGCGTGCTGCTCCCTCCACCACACATCCTGCAGACCTACAGAGGGCAGCGTGGACAGAGAGCTCCCCCTGCTCACACATGTGCACTTGAGGCCAGCGCCTGTAGATGCTTGTCGACAGCGGTTTCCCCCTCCCCTGCCTTCCTCCCTGGCTGGCTGGCTCTTTGGTCCTCTTCCCCTTCCAGGATGTCCTGACGTCCTTTTAAACCAAATGCCAAGTTTACAAAAAAAATGCCTCTGCGTGTGGTGGGGAGGGGGTGTGGGTATGGTGTGTGAGCCAGTATGTGTGAGTGGGAGAATGTGTGTGTGGTGTGTGTGAGAGACTGTGAGTGTATGCATGAGTGTGAGAATGTGTGCGTGTGTGTTTACACCACACTTCACAATTTGTGCAAGCCTGTACCTCAACCAGGCTCAACTCTGGTGTTAATCCCAAAATACTTGAATGCCCATAAAAGTGGATTTCTCAGAGAAATCATTTCTCCATCTGTAATTTAAGCTGGCTGCCCATCACATCACCTTGGATGGACTTGTACTCAAGGTTCGCCATGACTTTGACATGTTTTGGATTAGAATGAGAAGTCCTGTTGGTGAGCTAAAAAAAATTATCCCATTTTGAATTCAATTCTGATTTTGTTAATTTTTTTTAACCGTAATTTCTGACATGTGGGTCCGTCCTGGCATATTAAGAGGATGAGGTGCAGCTCCTGTTACAAAACTCCCTCTGAGCTGGGCACAGGTTGCACAATCCAGCCAGCTGGGAGGCCCTGCCAGCCACTTTGAGGACTTCACAGACCGGCAGTCAGAGGCTGGGGGCCCTGCTTGGGGCTGGGCCCTGGGAATGCTGACTTGGTCTTCTCAGGGAACTGTGTTTTTCAGTTATGGTAGGAAACTCTGCTCTCCCCTCTTCTCCTCCCTTTTCCTGCCTTTACTGATTCTCAGCTCTCACCAGGAGAGTTAACAGTGGCTTCTGGTTGGTGCAGGGTGTTCAACCAGAGAAGAAAGGGCCCTGGAGAAGACCGAACCCATAACAGAGGAAATGGAGGACCCGGAACACCCAGAAGGAATAAATGGTAAAAACCTCGATAAAGAACACAGAGCAGAGGCAAGAAAAAGGCTCAGAATGCTGCAAAGGGCCAGAGCAAAACACCTCATGACTGGGGCAAAATGGAATCCGAGAATCTGACTCTCTCTATTGACAAGAGTTAGACCTGATAGCTTCTCAGGGGTCCTGCTGCACGTGTGTGGGATGAATGGTCCAGCCAGACATTAACGCATATTTCCTGGAGAAAGCAAATCCCAAGTATGCGGTGTGTTTGTGCCCTTGTTAGGCAAATCCCAAGCGAGTTGCACAAATGTGCTGACTTCCGAGGATTTAGCAAGAACAATAACTTGGGTCACTGGGACTTAGAGCGGATATGAGCTATAAGGAAAGATAAAAATAAATGCTTCTGTGTGGAGAGGGAAAGAGAGTCTAGTGGAGCTGCATACACTTCAGTCGTGGTTTACAAATCTAGAAGCCGATTCATTCAAGCCATCAAAAGCCTTTCCTGTCCCTGGAAGTTACCTAATAACTCCTGACCTGATAGAGTAGGTTCGCAAGTGTCACCCTGGCCTTTGCCTCCCTTACCTTCCCTTTTGACCCAGTTCTGTACTTCTCCCCTTGTGCTCCATTCTCTAAGCATAGGCGTTTCTCTGTGGATGCTCAAATACTCTTGTTATCCTCACCTTGGGTTCAGAGAGGCAGCATGGCCTCTGGACTTTGGCTGATGTTGCATGAGAGGGTCTGGCCTCCAGGCCTCCAGTCCACCCCAGGTGCCATTTCACAAAGCTGAGGTCAGTGACCTGCAGCTCCTCAGAGAGCTGGTTTGCAGTCAACAGTGCCTCTGAGGAGACTCTCCTCCCAGAGTGGAATTTCAAGGCCTAAATCAGGGGCTGGTCCCATCTCAGTTATAGGCGAGGCCAGGAAGAACAGAGAGAAGAAGCACTGGGATGTTTTTTATAGGGAAGTAAATGCTCAGAACTACAATATTAAGACAACAAACTAAGTAGTGCTGTACAGGTGACCTAAAGCAGGGAGAGACTGGAGGTCAGGGAGAAGCAGATACAACAGTAATGAGCGTCTGCACTGGAGGGAGGTGTGGGAGTAGAAAAGTGGAGGGGCAGAGTTTGAGGGACAGTGATGAGGAAGGGTGGACTGTCCTACCCAGTTAATTGAGAAACTCGGGAGTTCTGAGGAGCAAGAAGTCAGCTTTAGTCAAAGCTGACTCAGAGATTTGAGCCGAGGTGACTAGGACAATGGCGGCTCCAGGAATGGACATGGGAGAGTCTGAAGGAAAATGTTGTTTTGTGGAGAAGATGGGGAGTCTGAGCTGCTACCAGAAATCCATGTGGAAATGGCCCACAGACTGTTGGAAATAAGGGCCCGGGGCTGAAGATTGAGCTTAGGGCTGACTCTCCGTATAGACAATGTGCACCTGGGTTCGAATCCTGGCTTTGCCACTTATAAGCCATGTGACTTTGATTGGACACTTGATGTCTCTGTGTCTTAGGTTTTCTCATTTATAGAAATGGGCATAAAAATATCTGTCCCCCTAGGGCTGTTATAATTGTGAAATGAGGTAATCCATATAAAGCACTTGAAACAGTGCCTAGCCCATAGTAACTGCTCAACAAATGTTAGTTACTATTATTACAATTGTTATCCTGTAGTCGTCCTTACAAAGATCATAGCTAAAGCCATGGGGGCAGAAGACATGGTCTGAAGAAAGAACCTGGGGAACGTGGACGTTAAGGCGCCATATTTGCATTTCATTTTTTTCCTCCAAGACTCCTTCTTTGAACGTGAGCTTCCAGGCTTGGTTCCAGGGGTATGTGTGAAGAATCTGGTAAAGATTTTTGAGCCCTACGGAAGGCCAGCAGTGGACCGTCTTAACATTACCTTCTATGAGAACCAGATCACTGCCTTCCTCGGACACAATGGAGCAGGGAAAACCACCACCTTGTGAGTCTTTGGGCAAAGAGGCTGGATTGCCCTGCTGTCCTGTCATTTTCTGGCTCTTTTCTTCCCCTATTAGCTGCAGTCTACTCTTTCCCACTGAATTTTAGGGACAAAAATGTACTCTATATTTGTGTCCCAAGAATGTGTAAAACACACTGCTGTGTTCAAAGCCCCCCCCCACATATATTGTTTTATTTGATCCTCAGAAGAAGTTGGAGAGGGAGATGGAGTAAGATTATTGTGCCCTTTGTGTGCCAGGGAAGTGGACATCCAGAGAGTTGAGGTGACTTTCCCGAGGTCACCAAGTGGTAATGGTTCAGTGGGACAAGAGCCAGGTTTTCCCACAATTGTCTCTTGTCTCTGACACTGTGAGCCCGTCCCCCCATCCCAAACCTCTCCAGCGTTGCTGTCATCAATGGTGGTGATAAAGTCACGGCCATCACCATCACATGCCCTCGGTCTGTAGAGTACTATTTATTTTCAAGGAGCATTCCTCTTCCTACCTATTACTAGGCAGGCTTCACCATCAGAATGGGACTCCCGATGAGGGTTGGTGGTAGTTCTGAAGAAAGTAAAGACAGTGCAGTATCTAGAGGGGCCTGTGGGGTAACTGCCTGGCAATTGAAGGCCAAGTTCAAGGAAGATGAGGGCTCTGCATGGAGGCCTCAGCTCAGGAGGCTCCCCACACTTTTCTAAGGGACATGAGTGCCATCTGCTGAGAAGGGGAACACAGCCATCTAAGATTTCCCACGGAGCAGCAGAAGCGGCCCTCTCAAGAGGCAGGGAACCCATGTGAACGCAGTCTTCAAGTCTTTTGGCTTTTGACAGAGTAGAAGGAAGGAACAGCAGTGTACACCCTGCGTTGGAATGTTCTCTGAGGGCGGATCAGTGTGAATGGAATGTGGGGCTGGTGCCATTATTATTTGGTTCTGTTTCCCTCTAGTGGTTGATCAACAGTGATTTCAGCTTCTAAATTCACGTTCAGATAGTCTGAGATTCTGTCGGGGGCAGAGCTGGACGGGGCAGCACTAGATCCGTCTGATTTCTCTCCTTGTTAACTGACATGGTAGAGAGCCCGGAGTTCCACAGGACCCAGGGCTTCTCAAAGGCAAACACGTGACTTCATCGACTGCTGAAATGCAGCTTCCTCTGGGGGTTGAAACACAACGTTTCATAAAAATAGTAATAATATTTTTGAGTTGTCCTTTATGCTGGCACTGTTCTAAGTGCTTTACAGGTATTAACTCATTTAATCCTCACAACAGCTTCATGAGGTGGGAGTCGTTATTTCTCATTTTACAAAAAAAGCCCAACATTGCTGTTAGGCTTTTTATGCTTTGGATCCAAAGATGATATTGTTGGTGGTAATTCCCACGCCTGGCTTCAATCAATTAATCCATAAATACATATTGAATGCCTGGGCTTCTCACTAAGACCCTTCCCCCATGCTTTGTGATGATGACATCAGGCAAAGCATTGACCCACGCACTGAACACCTTTTATTGAGCCCCCACAGGGCCAGGAGCTGTGATGGCTGAATTGGGGAGGGACCTTCGGCTGTAAGTGAACGTTCTGCAGCTGGGAATCCTGGAGGCCTATCTGTGCCTGCCTGGGAGCACAGGAAAGAAGCAGAAGCAGAGAAGGAAGGCGGATGTGGTCATCCACATTAGGGCCTGGATGTACACACTGGTGCTAAGTGCTCTGTGGGAAACTGTTGGTCCCCACCGCTAAGGATGGTTTGGATTCAACTGAGAGCCAAGGGCAGGAATCACTGTGAGAGTCCTCACTGACCCTGGGATGGGGCTCCCATTCCAAGGTACTCCTAAAGGCCATCTTTTTCTGCCACTGACTCCTGCGTTCGGCAGGTCCATCCTGACGGGTCTGTTGCCACCAACATCAGGGACTGTGCTCATTGGGGGAAAGGACATTGAAACCAGCCTGGATGCAGTGCGGCAGAGCCTTGGCATGTGTCCACAGCACAACATCCTGTTCCATCAGTAAGTAGAACAGGAATTGAGACCTTCCCCGTGCCCTGTCCTCACCCTGCCCCCCAACACACATGTTCTGTAGAGCCCAGCTGGGGGCAGGAGACAATATTCTTTTTGGTTTCCTCTGTGTTCAAGGTCCTTTGTCCTGCTTGCAATGAGAGGTGTTCCTCAGAACACAGGACTGTGCCTCTGGCGCTCGGAGCTGAGGTCTCTCCCTCAGAAGAGTGATGCCCCCTTCTCTCTCACAGGGTGGCTGATTCCAGGGCCCCTTGCTCAGCCCTGAAGTGTTCACCTCTGGGACAAAGAGAGCATTGTTCCTTATTTCCTCTTAAGCCTAAAAGCTGGCTTTTGAGGAGGGTTTTTAGTTGCTTTTTTCCCCAAACATTTATTTCTTGTCTAAAAGGTTTTATGTAGTCATTGAAGAAAGGAAGGAAGGAAACATAGATTAAAGGAAGAAAACACAAGTCACCTGTAATTTCACCACCCAGAGATAACTGCTGTTAACATCTGGTAGAAAATTTTTCAGAACGTTCTCCTATGCATGTATAAATATACATATGTACTTTCAAATTATAAAGGAGAGTAAAAATCTGCATACAGTTTTGTAACCTGCCATTTTTTTGATGTGATTGCTTTTCTTAACCTAAGATATCATGAACATCTTTTCATGTCATTACGTATTCTTCTATAAAATAATTAATGGTTACATACCATGCCATTGTATAAATGTACTGTTTAAGCTGTCCCCTCTTGTTAGATATTTTGGTAGAGTCTGTTTTTTGTTTTGTTTTTGCATTATAAACAGCACCATGGTGAACATCTTGATTGCTAAGTCTTTGTGCTCATCCTTAATTATCTCTGTAAAGTAAATTGCTAGACATGGAATTTCTGAGCCCAGTGACTCTCTTGTTGCCCCATCCCCACAGCCTCACGGTGGCTGAACACATCCTGTTCTACGCCCAGCTGAAAGGGAAGTCCTGGGAGGAGGCCCAGCTGGAGATGGAAGCCATGTTGGAGGACACAGGCCTCCACCACAAGAGGAACGAAGCAGCTCAGGATCTATCAGGTGCTTGATATTGGCAAAAGACAGGGCTACCAACGGCAAATCCATTGTCTCCCAGTGCACGGGGCAGTGGTGGAGACAGAGGCTTTAACAGATCTCCTAAGAGTTGGAACACTTCTATAAAGTTATTCTGAGCATCTAAGAGCAGCCCACCTCTGGATTATTTCCCACATGGAACCCTATCTTGCAGCAGCCTGGGCTGTATTTATTCTGATGTTTATGTATTTGAACTAAAATGGGAGAACGGCCTTCAAACAGCCTGATCCCAGGAGGCGGGGATTGCCTCTTCTGCATCTAAAGAGGCCTATACACCACTGGGGTTTGAACACTGTGTAAATATCTAAGGAGGCAGCATCAAACCACTGCGGAACTTAAGGTACCCCCCTTATCGCCAGCCCAGGGCCTTTCTCGTCCCGTGCTCCATAGCCCCTGTGACTGTCCCCCACCCCCACACCTTGTACTTCTAGGTGGCATGCAGAGGAAGCTGTCTGTTGCCATTGCCTTTGTGGGAGATGCCAAGGTGATTGTTCTGGATGAGCCCACCTCTGGGGTGGACCCCTACTCAAGGCGCTCAATCTGGGACCTGCTTCTGAAGTATCGCTCAGGTAATAGCCACTGCTCAGTGCCCTGTGCTCTCATCAAGGCTTTATCTGTGGTCCCCACTCTCTCACACCTGGTGTTACAGTACAAATGAATGTACTACCAGCCATAACTACCCTCATCTGGGGCTTTATCAGTGACTTGGGTGAATCCAAGTTCCAGGAATCCTCCTGAGATTTTTACACAAAAAAAGCAGGGAGTCACTGATGGAGCAGCCTACTTCCCAAAATATCCTACAAAGTCCTCTCAACCTGCAGCCCTTCTGTCTGGAACAATAGGTGCAGCCCTAGGTGAAATTCCCCTTTGACTAAGGGCACCTGAATCACCTGCAAACATCCCAAGATGCTCCATAGCTATCGGACAACCACTCAGGTTCAGGTGTGAGGGCGACATGCAGGTGTTCAGTGCTCCAGAGGACTGCTGCAGATGGAAATGTCTCAGAGTGGGACATTCCCTCCTCCATCACAGCACCTTCCAACCAGAGGGTGCAGATCCAGGAGAGACAGCAAGCAGAGCTCAGAATGCCCATAAAAGTGACAGCATGGTTCAATCTTGTGGTCGATTTGACATCCTGGAATCCTCATTACTGTTTTCCTTTAATGACATCTTCAGTTAGTTTAAAAGTGTGCGTGTGTTCTTTGTGAAATTATAAACGCAGTGCTTAATGATCCAGAGAATATACATACAGAACTCAATAGATGCTGACTGACAATAATAAATATGCCCCATATATGATTTATTTGAATCAGGTCCAATGCCTGATGAAAAGATACTGTATGTGACAGTGCTTTACAACATACAGGATGCTATAAAATGTTAACTGTTGTCGTTATTCTAGTATTCTGGACTTTGCTGCAGAATACTTGTTTTTATTTATTAACTTCCAGTTTTTGTGCCCACGTAATGGCGAGGTTGCTGTACATCCTCTCTCATCCAGCCTGGCCCAGGCCTACCTGGTGATTCCCCTGACCTCTGCCCTTGCAGGCAGAACCATTATCATGTCCACTCACCACATGGACGAGGCCGACCTCCTTGGGGACCGCATCGCCATCATTTCCCAGGGAAGGCTCTACTGCTCGGGCACCCCGCTCTTCCTGAAGAACTGCTTCGGCACGGGCTTCTACTTAACCTTGGTGCGCAAGATGAAAAATATCCAGAGCCGAAGAAGAGGCTGTGAGGTATGTGTGTCCAGGGAAAGAGCCCGTCCTGGGTGAGCAGGAAAGCATAGCATGGTGCTGCCATTCCAGACATTTCTACCCAAATCAGGCTCTCGCTGTCAGAATCGACCTCTTTGTTTCTGGGACCGTTTGCAGATTTTGATAAACTGACATTCTGAACCCTGCTACAGAGATGCTTTACTCCAAATGAAACAACTCGTTTTAAATGACCTAAGATGATTATACTGCAGAATCCTAAACGACACACGCTGTGCGGTGCAGCATGGAAGTGGTTGTCTTGTTCTGCAAGGTTACAGGGATTTAAGGAGAGTTGTTGTTTAAGCTTCCTTTTTGTCATTCCAACATTTATGTTCCCTAATTAAATCTGAATTCCACTGGCAAATGAAAGCTAAGAAAAGGCTTCCCTGGGAACTATAACCTAAAAATGATAAAGCCAAAAAGTACCAGCCAGCAGAGACCCCCTCAGCCTGTTGGGAGAACCAGATTCCGGTCTGGGCTGTAAAGTGGATGAACAGTGTCATCCTACGCAGATTACTTAATTCCTCATCGTTGTTGGGGTCTTTTGCACACAGAAAATGAAACTGATAATCCCTGTTTCTGCATCTTAGGGACATGGTGAAGATAGATGAGGTGAAGTATTATGAATGTGCTCTGGGCTCCTGGAGAACAGGCACTGCTCACATTCAAGTTGTCACGCTTACTATATTGTAGCATTATTTATGCCTCCGGCCCCTGTGGTTTAAGTGTCTGGCTGCTTCTGGGTTTTCCTGTCCTGGGTAGATTTCCACAGGCCAGCGTCCATGGGGAGGGAGGAGCAGAATGTCTTGCAGAGGTAGACCCACAGCTGTCACATAAGTGATAATAAGCCAAAGGGATCCTTTGAGGTTCTGCTACTCTCTGTGCCTGACTCACATGCTCTCCAGGATAAAATCAAATAGCCGCACCCTCAAAATGCTCAGATGAAGTATAATCACGCACCACATAACAATGTTTCAGTCAATGACAGACCGCATATACGACGGTGGTCCCATAAGATTAGTACCATATAGCCTAGGTGTGCAGTAGGCCACACCATCTAGGTTTGTGTAAGTACACTCTATGATGTTTGCACAATGACAAAATCACCTAATGATGCATTTCTCAGAATGTATCCCCATTGTTAAGCGATGTATGACTGTAACAGATTAAAATAGTGGAGAAAAAAATGTGTTGACCACTCTTGGCGGTGAGAAACAAATAAGGCGTGGTGGTGACGGCAATCAGCATCAAGGACATGCTATCATTGAAGTGACTGATGTCCTTCTGTTGTAGGGGACCTGCAGCTGTGTGTCTAAGGATTTCTCCGTCAGGTGTCCAACCCATGAAGATGAGATAACTCCAGAACAAGTCTTGGACGGTAAGGACTGGGGCAGGCCATATCTCAATTCTGGTCAGGTGATAATCTCTCAGTATTGTTGGGTGTGTCCTCTTGTCATGCATTTTAATGGGAGCAAAGGGATCATTCTGTGTACTTCTCAAGCCCACGGTCAAACAATCTTTTTCTTTGAGCTTCCTTTTCCTCCTCTATTCCCAAAGGGATTTTAAAAGTTATGGGCCTAAGGGCCTTCTCCTTTAAGGAGGAACCCAGTCTCTGTTTGCTCCTTGCCCTTACCCATCTTAAGCCTCCATTCCTGGGGTCCTCCTGCCCTGGCTCCAGGCCCCATTCCTTAGTGTCTGGAGAGAAGGGCTTCTAAAGTTGCCAGGGGAGCCCTCTGGTGGAGCCCCAGTGCCACAGAGCTCTCATAGGGAACTTTTCCAGGGAGTCAGGTTGCACTGTGTGGATGCCAAGGCTGTGGAATATCGCACATCCCTGTTACACTCCCAACTTTCCCCTCAGCTTCCCAACTTTCCAGCAGTTTTCCCTTGGATTAGGGTGCATTAAACGTCATAAGGGGCGCCCCCACCTCCAGGGAGACGCAGAAGAGAGGCTCTCACTGTAAGCACTCACCAGCAGGATCTGACTTCAGGACCCAGAGTGCTTGCCAACTCTTTCCATTCTCCAGTAAGGCCCATAAGGCCAGCCTCCCATGCCCCCTCTGGGGTGTCTTTGCAAATGGAATACCACACACCCCATATCCTAAGTAGGAGCAAAGCTAAACCTGTGTGCTGACCCAGGTTAATGAAGGGGAAAAAGTATCTGCTTAACAAAGAAAAAAAAAGTTTCCTATTTATCATAATTTTTTCCCTAAATCTGAGGAATTTACTGACTAAAATCTGGTGAAACAAGAATACTAGACAATATTTATGTACATGCTTGAAATTTGAGGAAAAGTGCCCAGAGTGGCATCATATTTACTCTCTCACCCTCTCTCTGCACAGACAGAACCTGTGGCGAACATGAACACATCCTGTTAGGATGACATTCTGTGTCTTTTTCCTACCCTGTCCTCCTGTGGGTCTTTCCCTGCTTCCTGAAGTTTCCTCCCAGGAGAAAACTTGGTCAAGAAATTGATAATTTTTAAAAATGAATACTAATAAATTTAACTACTGTGGTGCACCAAAATCAAGTTGGAAACAGGGCCTGCTGGCTGGAGTGGTTTTTTTTTTTAACATTATTTCTAAATAAACGTTTATTTTCTTTGAATGGAATAGAGATGCTGTGAATGGTAGGAAACGCAGTAAGTAGTGATGCCCCAGTTAAGAGAAGGAAGATCACTCTAATCCCTAGTCAGCTCCTTGGAAGGCTTTTCCCTCACACGCACCCACATACCACACACGCACCCGCATGCCACACTCACACAGACCTCCCTGCCAGGCGCCGGAAGCCCAGCTGCCCTAAAGGACTCCTTCTGAAAAGGCTGACACACATGTCTAAGACACAGTTCCTGGGAATCCAGCAGCTTCAGGATTGGTTTCCTTCCTAAGAGAACAATAAGCATGACCCGGAGAGAGCCGCGGGGGCAGAGCCGCTTCCTCACACCAGGAGCCCCCGGCCTATGTATGAAGTCACCCCAGAGCTCAAGACAATTGAGCCCAGTCGCAGGTTTGACATGAAACAAGCCTTCCAGTCCAGCTAGGCAGAAGGATTTGGGTTGAAAGCCATGAAATCCCTCCACGTGGGTCATTTCTAAAGCAAAGAAAGAAAAGGACCCACTGGGTGATCCTGACTCCGAGAGTCCCACTTGCGGAAATGCACACGAGAGCTGGGTTCTGAGTCCCCGGAATCCCTTTCCCTCTGGCCTGCCTCTCAAGATAATGTTCTAGAGAACTGTCTCCTCCCATGCATGCTTTAAACATTTTAAATTTGATTTTTGATTTTAAAGTAACACAAGCATGTGCATAAAATTCAATTCCAACCATATGAGGGTATCTGATAAATACTTGACACCGGACACTTCCCCACGTCCCATGCTGTGTGCTCCACACTCCATCCCTACTGCTTCTCAACCCCTTCTTTCCTGTAAGCTGGGTATTAAGTTTTGTTTTGTTTGAGGATGCAGGTGCAGTCCCTCGGGAAATGACAGTCCTCCAAACAGTTAGGCCAGGCAAGGGTGCGTGTGATCTAGGACGGGGAGTTCTCACCCAGCTTGGTCACCAGTTCCAGGTGTGCGTCGTAAGCAAGTCTCGCATAGTTTGGGCCAAACCAGGAAAATGAAAGCCACTTTGACTTAGCTCTCAGACTTGTGGTGAGTAAGAATGAGCAACAATGATGACAAGAGCTTTCTTACTTGAGACGATGTTCACAATAACGAGAGCAGCTAACATTCATCTACCCGCCAGGCACATCATTCTAAGTGTTTTGTGTATGTTAACTCATCCACTCCTCACAAGTGACAATAAACTGGGTGCCATTCTTTCCCCCTTTTCACAGATGAAGAAACTAGGGTGTGACTTGCCTGATGTTACATAACTTGTAAGGGACAGAACATTCGATTGAACTAAGAAGAGAGCTGGCAAGGGGACATTACATAACCTCCCAAGGTTACACAGCTGGTTGGTGGGGAGCGCTTTTGTTCCATCTCCCTCTCCTTCTCAGTGCCTGTCACAGGGCCAACTAAGCTAAAAACAGACCTGATAGAGCATCAGTCCTCTGAAAAAGTCACTACCGAGGAAGGAAATGCCCCTTCCTCAAATAGGAGGTGGAAGAAAGTAGGAGACCTGGGTGAGCCCACAGTCTTCCAGGTTCTGGACATCAGTCTTTTTTCTTGTCCTAGGGGATGTGAATGAGCTGATGGATATGGTTCACCACCATGTTCCAGAGGCAAAGCTAGTAGAATGCATTGGTCAAGAACTTATTTTCCTTCTACCAAATAAGAATTTCAAGCAGAGAGCATATGCCAGCCTTTTCAGAGAGCTGGAGGAGACGCTGGCTGACCTGGGGCTCAGCAGTTTTGGAATTTCTGACACTCCCCTGGAAGAGGTAAGGCAGAGAGTCCAGCTGGTTTCTGTCAAGTGCCAGAAAAGGTGGTTCTTTGCAAAAGTCTAACTCTAGAGGGAAGTTTTGTAAAGGCAAAAAGCCATAATTCCCTACCAAAACATAGCGACTATCTTCATTTTTGGCTTACTTCCTCTGCCTTTGTCCATATGCACACATGTTTTACATAATTGTGGTCAGTGCATGCATATACTTTTGTATTAATAGAAGAATATGTTCTTAGATAAAGAGTCATAGTATATTTTCTTCCCATTATGACACAGTACCCAACAAAGTTGAGCTTGGGTTAGATTTTTCTGAGAGTAGGACTATCACACCAAATTCTCTCTTTTTTCCTTCTTGACAGATTTTTCTGAAGGTCACAGAAGATTCTCACTCAGGACCTCTATTTGCTGGTATGGTGCTGGAGTGTGTAGCTTGTTACCTCACCAACCCCCCAAGCTCTATCTTGAAAGTCTAAGGAAAAACTCGTGAAACAACAAAGCAGGCAAATACTTCTCCACAGTATTTATCTGACCCCCAAATAACAGGCATTTTGCATTCTTGGTTCCTTCGAATGACAAAGGAATGACAAATGGAATCAGGTCTGGGTGGGAAGACTCTAGATGAATCAGGAGTCTTAAGGAGGTCAGGCGAGAGCTTCACCATCTCCAAGCTTCTCATCCCACTTCCTGGTCTCTTGTTCCTGCCACATCACCATCCTCATCCCACCAGGCCTCTGGTTCCACTCCTGTCTGCACGAGTGACAGTCTGCAGAGTCCTGAGAGAAAATGGTGACAGTAAATACCGCCCAGAAGCTGGCTAGGATCTCCTGGCCCCTTTGAGCTCGAGATAAAATTATTCTGAGCCTTCATTTAGTGCATTATGGAACTTTGAAACCATGGGGACCAAACTTCCTGGAGATTCAGGGAGTCTCTCCTCCATATATGTGAGAAGAGCACCACATGAGGGGCACCAAATAGCCCCGTCTATGATTTCTACCAAAACCTCAGAGCCACACAAAGCATTCACGAGTGCAGTAGACTTTACTGTGGAGGGTCGGGGTGGGGAGATGGACGTGCAGGAGGGGTTACCTGCCACAATACAGGCCACTTCTGCTAGAACAATAGGCATCCACCCACACTGATAAAATCCTCTCCCTGGCTCCTTTCTCCCACCTCTGTTTTCCTCTCTCTTGGTCACGGGCAAAGCTGTGTGGCAATTCTCCCTTGCTGCCTTGGGATCCTGCCACTGGTTACCTCCTCCAACCCAGTGTGGCATATCACAGTGTTTTCCTGGGCAAAGATTGTTTCCTCCCTGTGGGGTTTTTGAGCCAGATCTTAAGATAATATAGTTTTCATCTTGCTTCGTAAGTGATCCCAGAAGTTTATTTATCAGCTATGCCCAGAACTACCAATGGTCAAATACACCCACCCAAATGGGCTTCATGACCCAGGTAGGCTATGGGGTGGCCAGAAGCTGTGACCATCCTGGCAGAGTGGGGAGTGAAGGAAGGGGTGGGAGCAGCTCACCACAGGACCCACGTTTTCTTTCCAGCTTTGCAGACACAGAAATGGAATTCCTTCAGCTCACCCAAAGGCAAAGACTTACGTTAACCAAGATCAGAATGAAAATATGCTAATTTATATCAGAAGCTACAATGGATTCAAGTAGTGGGGGCTTTTATCTGCACAGAATACTCCTTCTTGATAATTAGGTCCTCTCAGAATAAATTACACATCAGAAGGCTGGCTAGTCTGGGCATAGACTAGAATGTTTCAAAGAGATAGCCAAGGGTAGAGGTTAAGTGTGTAGCCTCTAGAATGAGGCTGACCCACATCAAACCTGAACCCCATAATTTGCTAACCAAGTGGATTTGGGTAAATACTTAGCCTCTTTGTACATCAGTTTCCTCATCTGCAAAGTGGGGATAATAATAATATCCACCTTTTAGAGTTGTTGAGAGAATTAAATGAGTTAATGAATGCCAAGTCTTAACACACCATGTGATTTCTGACTAAGACTTAGAAACACCCTAGTCTCAACACTTAAAAATCATCTCTTGGGCCGGCCCCATGGCCTAGTGGTTAAGTTCAGCACGCTCCACTTTGGCAGCCCAGGTTCAGTTCCCAGGAACAGACCTGCACCAGTTGTCAGTGGCCATGCTGTGGCGGCGACCCACATACAAAATAGAGGAGGATTGGCACAGATGTTAGCGCAGGGCAAATCTTCCTTAAGCAAAAAGAGGAAGATTAGCAACAGATTTTAGCTCAGGATGAATCTTCCTCAGCAAAAAAAAACAAAAAATTATCTCTTACTCCAAACTTGTACAGCCCTTTATACTTCACAAAACACTTAACATCCATTGTTTATTTGATTATCACCACAGTCTCATGGGGCGGATAGGGCAGGGACTGGCCTCATCTGGGGGAAACTGAGCTCACACAGGTTGGATGACTTGCCTAAAGCCACACAGGCTTCTGGGTCTTGTTTCCTGGTCTCAGCTCTTAAATCTAGGAACCTCAATTCCACACTCTCACTGCCTTCATTTTTCAGATATCTAAATGCATTTACTTTGAATTGGCTCAGTTTTGGAGGATGACATTTTCTGATCTTGTCTCCAAAGTCTGAAGGAACTTATAGCTGTCCATTGCGGTCACGTGTTGCGTGGTACCAAGAGGGTCAATCCCGCTTGTAGGGGGTGGCTCACAGCCCTTGACCACCAGAGGGCAGCATAAAGCCAAGAACAAAACTCGCGATTCTGAACAGGCCCTGAGCCCTAAGGTCTGGCCAGGACAGTGGGCTCCAGTCTGGATGGGGCATAAGGGAGAGAGCAAAGCTCATAGGATGGACATTAGGAGAGGCAGCAGCGATCTTACCAGAGGGAGGACCGGCCACAGCAACATCCAATCTGAGCTCAGATCAGAAGAAAGAAAGCTGGAGAACTGGGACTCTAGCGCTGGGTCATCAGTGAGCCTGCAGAAATTCTCCCCCTGCTGAGCATCCTGTCCTGGCGCATTGCAGGTGCCCATGAATGTTAGCTGAAAGAATGACTGAGCTGACCCACTCCCTTTGCAGTTGCCCTTGTCCAGAGAGGGTTAAGAAAGCATCTGGGGACCAACTAGAGGTCCTCTAGGCTCTCCCTTTACGTCCAACAACAGATGTTCTGCAAATGGGCATTAATTCACAATGGTAACCAGCAGCTTCAACATAACTGACGACTTGTGATGGTTTATAAAGCACATTCACATGTGTTAGCTCATTTAATCTTCGTAACAAACCCTGTGAAATGTTCTTATTTTCATTTTACAGATGAGAAAACTCAGATTCAGGCAGGTTGAGTCACTTAGCCAAATGTATGCATCTAGGAAGAGTCAGGATTCAAATCCAGGTCTCCTAACTCCTAGTTCGTTAGTCTTTCCACCACTTCTCAGCTGCCTCTAAGAATTTAGAAAGAACCAAATTGACTCTGACTTTTACTGTTTTTAAGTACACAGGTTATATGTGAATATATTTTTTTTGTTAAAAATTTCAAATAATACAAAATAGATTAAAATCACCCTTCCCACCTCATCCCTGCCCCTTATGTGGCTCTGCCCCTGCACTGGTAACCGTTGTTAACAGCTGGTGACCCTTCTTCCAGAACTTTGCAGTTACAAGTATGTGTGTGCATACACAAAATGTCATGTTTCTTTGTACATGATGTATGCATTCTCTAGCATAAATATGATCTTATTACACATATCATTCTGCAACTTCACTTTTTTTTGCTTAGTTTTATGTTTTAGAGCGCTCTGTCAATGCATTTAGATGTATCTTGTTCTCTTAAACTACTGCAGAGAATTTTTAAGCGATTTCAGGTGATTCTGTCTATAGATGATTTACACCGAAAAACAGAATTTTTAAAGTTTATTAACTTACATGGCCTGATATTTTGTTGCTGATTTAAATGAAAAGAAAAACAAGGGTGTAAGAAAAAAATGGCGTACGAGATTCAGACCTCGTGAGTGTTTTTCTGAATTATTAATTCAGTCTCCCAAACAGGCGGCACTCAGCAGAGAAGAGAAAATGTCAGCCTCCGACACGCCTGTTTGGGTCCTAGTGAGAAGGTCAGACAGACTCCCCAGGGCTCCAACGGCTGCCCTGCGGAGCAGGATCCTGGCCCTGCTGGCTGGCCTTCCCCGGTGCACAGCGGCCGGCTCAACTCAGGAGCGCGGCTCCTGTTCCAACACGTGCAGGCACTGCTGGTCAAGCGATTCCACCACGCCGTCCGCAGCCACAAGGACTTCCTGGCCCAGGTATACCTGTGATCTTTGGCTCTTCTCAATTGTTCCTCACCAGGGCCTGCCTGTCCTCCCCTGCCTCTCCATCCTCTCCTAGGCTTTCTCGTGCACGTGGGCTAAAACACAGCAAGGAGCACCCTCTTTAGGTTCTGGAGGCTTCATTTCCTTCTTGCTAACCTTTGTTTTGATTCTTGGTAATACAAAGCTTCCTTGTAAATATTCAACCTCACTTAGTAGAGAAAATAGAATAATAGTGAATATGTTAATATTGTTTTTATTTTTACAGTGAAGGCTCAAGTCATGATTTCATTCATTTTTGCAGTGATCCTGCAGAGTAAGGTCATTGTCCTCTTTTTTCTTTTTACAGTTTTTGTTCAGAAAAAGAAATGCTGGTTCATCTCTGGCTGAACATTGGGCTACTCCAATGTTCATTGTTGGCCCACTTCAACCATTCTTCAGTGGTTACCAGAACATTCTGTTTTCTCCCACATGTCTTGCTTTTCTGCATCTTCCCTGTAATGTTCCCCAGAAGCCTGACCTTCTCCCCCAGGACCTGGTTATGAGGCTGCAGGATAAATGTTGATAAGAGTGAGTGTGTGTGTGTGTGTGTGTGTGTGTGTGTGTGTGTCTTTAACACACCACATACCACAGCCCACGTTGCAATGCTCGTTCTCCCACAGATTGTGCTCCCGGCCTCTTTTGTGCTTTTGGCTCTGATGCTTTCCATCATCATCCCTCCTTTTGGTGAATATCCCACTTTGACCCTTCACCCCTGGATGTATGGGCAGCAGTACACTTTCTTCAGGTGCGTAGACTTGTCTCCAGAGGTCATCATTCACCTCCGTGGGTTGTGGGGCTCTCGAGTCACATGCTGCTTGGTGGGGGCCTGACCTTCCCACTTCCCTGGGACAGTCACAAGTGTGGTAGGGGTCCTCGGGCTGCCCTCAGAAAGGAAGTTAATGTACCTGCATCTGCCTGGAAAGGTGATCCCAAGTGGACAACCCAGACTGCCAGGAGTAAGGGAAGAGAAAGTAAAGTGTGGGTGAGTGGGTTGAAGCTCCACCTTTTTGAGGCACAAACATGACATGCCGTCAGATCACTGCATGTGTTCGGGTGGCCTACCCCCTGCCCAGGAGACCCACAACCATCCCAAGGCAGCGTTCTGTGCCTTGTGTACAGGCCTGGCATGTGGTAGTCATTCAACAAATGCTTGTTGGGTTGCATGTTGGCTGCTTTGCCCCCTCTGTCCCTGTCACGTGTCCATCGAGTCAGCCCCTTTCACTCTGTCCAGCATGGACCAGCCGGGCAGTGAGCAGTTGGCTGCACTTGCAGACGTCCTCCTGAACAAGCCGGGCTTTGGCAACCGCTGCCTGAAGGAAGACTGGCTTCCGTAAGTCCCTGCACACCCTGTCCTAAGACCACCAGCTGCCCTGGAGACCACGATGGTGGGGTCCGGGATGGCAGAGTTGGTAGAGGCCCATCTCAATCCTGCTCTGATTACATGATGCTTGCACTTCCCTGACCAGTACTCACCCAGCCTCTCCTTCAACACTGGTGTGCAGGAGTGTTCACTCTCTCTCAGGAAGCCCCTGCATCACTGGACAGCTCTATATTTCTATAATTCTCGGTATAGAAAGTTCCATACTGAGTTGACACATGCTTCCCACAAATTATTTGAAAGTAGTCTGAGCAGCAGAAGGAGGGAGATGGGGAATGTACCATTGTATAATTGGACCTAGAATGGCATTAATTACATATATGGCCAACTCCCAGTTATTGCTATTAGCATAGAGAAGGGAGTTATAGAGGGCAGTTGAAATCCACCAAGAGTCCTAAAAGTTCAATATAATTTTAACTGCTTCTCTCATTCCATCTTTTTCAGAGCTACTGATAAGGACCAAAAGAGACTAATTCCAAACTTTTCTTTTATTTGTTCTGTCTCTCAATAGCTAGAGCTGCCAGAAGAAAAAAAGGGAGAGAAAACTGTCCACAAGTAGGAAATTATTCCCCAGCCTCACATCTAGTCAATCAACAAAATTCTAGTCTTGATTTTTCTTGAGCAGAAACTGACCCTTCAGAGTTTAAGAAGAAAATGTGTGGGTCTGAGGAGAGGAGGAAAGGCTAAGGAGGAGAGGGTTGGGCACTGTTTCTCATTTCTAGGGATTTTTATCAACTTGGGAGCTGATTGTGAAGTATTTTCTTGTCTTCCCTTAGGGAGTACCCCTGTGGCAATTCAACCCCGTGGAAGACTCCCTCTGTGTCTCCGAACATCACCCACCTGCTCCAGAAGCAGAAATGGACACCGGACAACCCCTCGCCTTCCTGCAGGTGCAGCACCAGAGAGAAGCTCACCATGCTCCCCGAGTGCCCCGAGGGTGCAGGGGGGCTCCCGCCCCCTCAGGTACCTTGACCCTCCTCGGGGAACCAGGGGCCCTGAATCAGCCTGCCACAGCAGGGGTGGGAGAAAACCCATTGTGCCTCCTGAACTTCTAGCCAACTAACATTTCAAACTGACAGCAACGGTGTCCGGATCCTCTCAGTGGAGTATCCCAGAGGGCCTGGTCACACACCCCAGGAGGAAGTCATTTTCCACCAAACACTCCCTATTCGATCTAGTAGAAAATATCTTTAAACATTGAAAAAATTATTCATGCATGCTCATTATAGAAAAATTAGAAAGTACAGATAGGTCAGAAGGAAAAAAAATCATCCTATCACTTGGAGATAACCAGCAATAACATTTGTTTTTATCCATCTAAACAGGATTACATTCAAAATGCTGTCTTGAAACCTGCTATTTTCACTTAATAACATATCATGAACATATGTCCGTGTCAATAAATATACATCTATATCGTCATTTTTAATGCCTGCAAACTATCCCACTGCTTGGATTTACTTTAGTTTATTTAACTAATCTCTCATTTTTGGATGTGTGGGTTTTCAGTTCCTCTCCATTATAAACAATGTTTTAGTGTCCATTCGAATGCTGATGTATTTGCACACTTATTAACAATCTTAATTGAGAAGCTTGCCATGTGCTGTGTAACTAACATGTACACACACACACACACACACACAGCCAGCAACCTGTCTTTTCAAGAACATCAACAAATTTGGTTCTGAGCAGCGTCCTCTCCTGAGGGTTCTGAATTCCAGAATGTATCACAGTGAGGCTCTTCCGGGGCTTTCAGAGATAGTGAAAGGGGCCAGAGGAGTCTCACTTTGTCTCAGGTTGGTAACTGGCCTTCCAGATGACTTGCACAGTGCTGGGCCTTATGTGGCCCTCTCTGATGATTTGCCAATGAATGAACATTTCCCGGAGAAGCAGTGTGGCAGAGTGGGACGAGCGTAGGCATTGGTGTCAGAGAGCCATGGGTTGGTTACTTGGCCTCTCTGAACCTTAATTTCCTCACTTATAAATGGAAGATAGCTGCAAATTATTTCATAGAGTTATTATAAGAATTCAATTAGATAACGTGAGTAAGGAAATTGTATTATTTAGAATTAGATTCAACTTGACTGACGACAACCCTACACTAACCGTGGATAAAATAAGACACAATTTGTTTCTCTCTCATGTAAAAGTTAATACGAGTGGTCCATGATGTTCTATCTTGTTGCTCCTTAATGGTAAACAGGCCTCAGCCTCATTGGCCAAGATGGCAGAATCTACTTTCCAGGCAGCAGGATGGAAGAAGGGAGGAAGAAAAAGAGAGGGCGAAGTGTGCAAATACGCTATCTTTTAAGGAAGATTTTCAGAAGCTACCACACAGCACTGTCACTTATGCATCATTGGCCAGAAGCTAACATCAAGGGAGACTGAGGACTACAGTCTTTATTTTGGATGTCCTTGTACCCATCAGAAAAGTCTATTACTATGGCATATGGCAGAAGGGCAGAGCACATAATGGGGGACAACTCAATTTTCCATTGCATCAATCACAGTTGCTGGCTTGTAAATGATTCCATGTTTATGAACATCCTATGTTTCTCTTTTTAATATGCTAAAAGTGTGTACCTTTATATTTCTCAAACAATATATTTTCCCTTTGTATCACAACTCAGCCACTATAGCATCATAAGCATCCCAAAAGAGGGACTCAGGGAGTTTGTCCCAATCCTCTGTACCCCAAGGGGAGGCTTTGTTGGGTTGGGTTTGCTGAGGGCCCCTGTGGCTGCTTCGACTCAACTGCAACCAGCATCAGGACACGGAGGCTGTGACACACTGTGCATTGCTTTCTGGGCTGGGAGGGGAGGGAAGGCCAAGCAAGGCTACATGAGATTCATTTCCTCAGTGAGTCCTAACTTCAAGGCTGCCTGTCTAGCTTAGAAACTTATTTTCAGTTGTTAGTCTTTGGTCTCTGGGGGAAAAAAATTGAACAGGCCACTCCAGCCAAAGTCCTGGAAAAAGGCAAACCCGTTTCTGTGATTTTCTCTGACTTCTGCATTTCCTCATTATCATTCACGCCTTTCTTGGGAGCAAAATTGAATGTCACTTATCTGCACAGGAGCTGCTCCCTCTCTCTGTCTCTCTTTCTCTCTCTTGGTGTCTCTCTTTCACACACACACATACACACACACACACACACTCTCTCATATTCACACCGACTCACCCTGCTCACTCAAACACACTCTTCCATTCTCCCCGCAGTAAGGTCAGAGAGTAAGGGCTTGACTCAGAGGTAGTAAGTTGTCCTCAGCTGGACAATGGGGCTGGTGGATGCAGTTTTCTCTGGGGTGCCTTTCGATTCTAACATTCTTTGAGTGGTGATGGGTCCTGAGGTGGAAGTGCTCCATCCCTGACTTCTACGATACTTAGAGATAAAGTTGTAGGAGTATTTTACTTGACCGAATTTTTAGAAAACAACTTATGATAAACTTCTCAGGCACTAACAATTGTTCCAGCCTAGATTCCACTAGGGGAGCTTGGCAGTTCCCCTGGGTGCCATTTTCAGCTTGAAAAGCAGGTGATGGAGTGAAATGAGCAAGCGCTGTGGAGGAGACAGACATAGGTTAAAATCCTAGGTCTGCAAGTTCTGTAACCCAGTACAAGTTAGCTAACCTTCCTGAACCTCAGTTTCTCTGTCTGTAAGTTAAAGTAATAATTCCTCTTTCACAGGGGTATGAGGATGAAGGGATATATTACAACGTTATGTGGAGCATTTAACACCGTGCCTGGCCCACAGTAAGCATTCGGTAGATGCTAGTTTTCCTCCCAGTGTGAGAGAGAGGAACAAGCTGAAGAATGCAAATTGAAGAAGGAAGTAAAATGGGAAAGAGGAGGGAGGGACAGAGAGTGTCTAAAAAGGAAAACAATCATGTGTGATGATGGCGGTTTTAAGGCCACAAAAAAATTCCCTCAGCTACCTCTGGAGGGCACCCTTGACACCCAGAGTTCCTGACTGACCAGAACTAAACACTACGTATTCCCAAATTTAAATATTATTGCCGCCTGGTGGCCAAACTCGTGCACTTTTGAATTCTCCAAAGTCTTGATTAACTAGCTTCGAGTCCTAGATGTATTTTGAAAGTGATTAGTAGCTTGTAAGGCACTGTTTCAATTCTTTCATTCATGTCACAAACTTATTGTTTCAACTGTATGCCAGGTACTATTCTGGGTGCTAAGGACACAGCAGCTGGCAAGTCAGAGAAAGTCTCGGCTCCCACAGAATTTGTATCATACATGGTTGTAACAGACAAAAACAAGTAAACAGATGAATTGGATAGCAAATTTCAGATAGTGATGAAGATGTGAAGATAATAAATAATATGTTGTGATGGAGTGACTGGAAATAGAAAATACTTCTCTGAGGAATAAAATTTGGGCTGAGACTTGAATGATGAAGAGCTAGCCATGTGAGATTGTCCAGGTAGAGCAATCCAGGCGGAGGGAACCGCCAAGTGCAAAGCTACTGCGGGAATGAGAGGTGCCTATTTGAGAAGCAGGGAGAGTCGGTAGGGAGGGCTTGGGAGCGGAGAGTAGCAGCAGGTGAGCTGGGAGAGGGAGGCAGGGCCAGATCACCTCCGTGTCAGCCTTGGTGATGAATCTGGATCTGCTCCCAGGGTTTATTGGAGTGTGGTAAGCAAAGTGCCTGGGGTATTCTGATTTACATGTTTAAAGCGCAGTCTGGCTGCTGGGTGGAGCATGGGTTGTGGACAGCCAGGGTGGAAGCAGGGAGACCAGTTTGGAAGTTTCTGTAGAGGTCCAGGTGAGGTCTAGGTGGAGGCTTATGGGCTACGGTGGCACTGGAGAGATGCCATGGATTGGAGATTTATTATGGAGTTAGATCTAGCCAATCCTGTCAGTGGACTGGAGAAAAGAGAAGGGTCAAAGATGACTTCTACATCATTGATGTGGGAACTAGGGAGATGCCAGTGCTTTATTTTGTATTTTCCCAGTAGCTGAGTCCATAAATAATTTTTGGAGAAGAACAAGTAGTTTCCCAAACTATAAGACCTCAAATTCCAAAGTAATTAATGCAGATGTCTCATTGCCTCAGAGAATACAGCGCAGCACTGAAATTCTACAAGACCTGACAAACAGGAACATCTCTGACTTCTTGGTAAAAACGTATCCTGCTCTTATACAAAGCAGGTAAGAAGAGACCCTTTCATCCTTTTTATCCTGGCTCCCTGTAGAAAATATTAACTAGGGACAGAAGATAATTTACTCTTATGATTTATCAACAATCAGGGCAGTGGAATTTTTTTTTTCCTAAGTTGAGAGCCTCACCCAACAGAAAAAGCAATTGAGGCATATACAAGTAAAATGCAACTTAAGATTAATTTTGTTTTTGGTTTCTTTGTCTTGTCTAGGCCAAGCAGTCTTAAAGTTTAACCCATGCACTATTAAAAGCAAAATAAGAAAGCATAGAATTTATCCAATAACGCAGCCTCATATTTTAACTAGTTAAGAAAGACAAAGTTGGGAGGGAGGAGGGAGAGTAAAGAGGAAAGGTAGAGGAAAAAGGGAGAAGCAAAAAGGAAAAGTAAGAAGCAGAAGGGAGAAAGGAAAAACTTAGACGAAGATAGGAAAGAGGCAGTGGGACAGGGTCTGAGCGAGCCCACAGTTTGGCCAGGTTAACTGCACCTGTCACACTCTAACTGAAAATTGTCATATGTCACTGCCCTTGAAACTGCTAACGAACTCTTCCCTAAGTGTCTACTTCTCTCAGCTCTGCAGCTGTTCTTATCAAGCCCCACCCCGGGATGGCCCTGCTTCAGCAGCCCCTATCAGAGCAAGCAGCTTGACAAGAGCATGCTGCAGGGAGGGCATCATAGGGGACCCTGATTCAGGCCCCACAGGCTCTGGGGCTTTCAAATAAAACATAGTGTCTAATTTTAGTAGTACTTTCCGTTGCTTCCCCTACCAGAGCCCTGAGCAAGGGAGAGATGGACTTGGCTAACCAGACCCCGCTGCAGACGATGAAGCAGCTGCTGGGCAGGCAATGCCACGCCAGCAGTTAGCAAAATGAGGAACGCCGTCCAAGCACAAAAGTGAAAGCAGAGTGCAGAGAATTTATCCAATAACACAATAAATGACGACCATCCCAAACTTGGTTCTCAGCAGCAAATTTGCAATGTGGAATTTTGGATTTTGTGCTTGATGACAATAGTTCGTGGGTCTAAACTATGACGTCTGGAGTTGGTGTCTGCTTGTTTCCTATCTTGTAATTTACCCCTGATTGCCCGGAAGTCAGTGTCTTAACTTCGGGCTTGGAGTAAGCCAGGACTTCCTCCAGGTGTGCAGGTGATTCATAGAGTCTCGTTTGTACAGGGTGGGAGAGGGGAGGGCTGCGGGCTGCAGCCTGCACTCCACACTGGCATGGTCGTTGCCATATTTTCTGGGTCCAGTTGGGGCACAATGGTTTGACAACAGGGCCACCCAGAAAGTCCCACATGCAGGATGTGACTTGGAGAACCAGTGGTGGAAAACATCAGTCAAGCCCGGCTCCAGGGCTGGGAGGGCTCCACACTGCTTGGATGTCAGGAAATGCAAAATGCCCCTGAAGACTGAGACATCCCAGTGAGTGTCTAGGAAGGGAAGTTAACACTACTGCCATACTTGTGTATTCACTGTATGATTTATTTTGGCTTTCAGCTTAAAGAGCAAATTCTGGGTCAATGAACAGAGGTAAGAAACTATTTTTGTAAGAAATTAAAATCTCAGACTTATTCATTTAAAATAATTGCACATAAAAAAGCCACACCTCAAACCATGTGGATGGGCTGTTCTGTCCGTGCTCAGGAATTCCCAAGACGTGTCCTGAAGGGTATGTGGCTAGAGGCAGCTGGACCCAGAAGATGCTCAGTGGTAGGTCTCCTTGGAGGGCGTAAATAGGAGGTGGTGTTCCTTGAAGAGGAGCCCCAGAGCATTCTCACTTAAGGGAGATTCTAAAACCTCCGAGCGCTTGACAGTGTAGAATGCTGCAATGAGAGGACTGGAACCTGAGCCCTGGCGCCCCTTGGCTCATTCCATTTAAGCCTCAAAGGGCCTGGTCCAGCCCCACACTGCCCCCTTCTCCCTGTTCCTGAGGCATCCTGCAGGCTCAAGTGGTTCCAGAGGTTTGGAGAATCCTCCAGGATATTATGGGAGTGAGCTGGCCTCCCGGCCCCCTCAGGGACGGGGCCTTTAGAGTGAAAGAAGAGCTTCTGTGACTTGATTTCCTGGGGGATTCTAGACCATAAAAGTGAAATCCAGCTTTGAGAATTGCTCCCTAGAGGGAAGTGTGGGGCCTTAGCTGAAGCAGAAAGGGAGGAGAGGGGCACAATTTGAGTCCCTGAGGAATAAAGTTCTCCTCCTCTGCCTTGCCTAACTGGCAAATTAATTTTGTTTTGTAGAGGAGTTTGGCTTTTTATCCTCCTTTGAAGAGTTTTAAGCCAGAGAGTGACACGCTCAGGTCGGTGTTTGAGTAGAGTCACTTGAGACTTCAGAGCAGTGTGGAAGATGGGTCAGAATGGGAGACCCAAGGCTAGGATCCCACTTCAGGACCTAGAGCAAGGGTAGAGGCAGGAGAAGGGAGGGGCTGCCTAAGGTAGGGGTGGGGCTGAGAGGTAGGCAGGACTGGTCCTGATTAGATAAGGGAAGTCCAGTGCTGCCAGGGGTACCTGCAAAGTACAGAAGTGTCACAGAAAAGGGATCATTGGTTTTAGTCAGGGGAGAGTCTGGGAAGACTTCGAAGAGAAAATGACATGGAACAGATGAGTGGGAGTTGGCCAGATGCTCAAGAAGGGGATAAGCACCCCCGGGACGCAGCAGCCCTACGAAAGCAGAGAGACACAGAGGCAACCTGGACTGCTGGGGGATCTGGAAGTGATTTCACATGGCCGGAATATGCCACTCAAGGGAAGGCATGAGGAGGGGTGAGGTTGGAGGGGTGGGCAGAGACCAAGCTCAGAAAGAATCAGAATTTCATTCTGGAGGCAATGAGGAAGCGCTGAAAATTGGTTTGTAAAGTGGGGCCATGTCACTTGCTAGTTCAGACAATTCCCCCGAAAGGACGCATTTCCCTACAAAACTGAGAGAGCTGTGGCAAGTGTGAAGCACACACACAGTTCATGGCACTGGTCTAAGGACTTCCTGTTCCCTTGTCAGGTATGGAGGAATTTCCATCGGAGGAAAGCTCCCAGTTCTCCCCATCACTGGAGAAGCACTTGTTGGATTTTTAAGCGACGTTGGCCAGATGATGAACGTGAGCGGGGTATGTAAGCTGACTGGAGATTTGGGTAGGACTTTCAACCTGCCAAGTGTCATAAAACAGAAATTATCATGAGTACTAAGGGAGAAAAAAAAAAAAACCCTCTTGCTTGTTTATTATGGTTTTCTAGGGCCCTATCACCAGAGAGCTCTCTAAGGAAATGTCTGCTTTCCTTAAACATCTAGAAACTGAAGACAACATTAAGGTATTGGCCCAGCATAATCTGCCTTAGAGTTAAAAATTCATGTGAGCTGGTTATTTTATTTTTATTTTCCTGGCTTAGCTAAATTCCATCCCTCCTCCTGTTGAAACCTAGCATGGAATGTCTTCCAGCTGCCAAACCCTTCCTCCTTCTCACATTCTTTTTCCTGCAGCTAATTGTTTCTTTAAACAGCTGTTGTAGCTCAGCGTCTCTGGTCTCGTGTAATAGCACAGCCTGGCAAAGCCCATCTCTACCCTGTAGGTGTGGTTTAACAACAAAGGCTGGCATGCCCTGGTCAGCTTTCTCAACGTGGGTCACAACGCCATCTTACGGGCCAGCCTGCCCGAGCACAGGAACCCCGAGGAGTATGGCATCACCGTCATAAGCCAGCCCCTGAACCTGACCAAGGAGCAGCTCTCAGAGATCACAGTGTAAGCCACCGCGGCCCCCAGCCTCACGGCCCTCTTGCCACCCTCTCCACATTTTTGACACCCCGAGAGGATTTTCACTAACATGAGCCGCTGGGCGGGATGGCAAGCTTGTCGAAGCAGGCACACACGAACATGACTTTCAAACGCTCCGTGTACCACACTGCTCGGCCATTTTCTCTCCTCATACTGTTTATTTGGAAAGTAAGCATATGTTTGGTTCTGTTCCCTTTTGGCTCTTGATAACAAGTTGCCCCTGGAGCTTACACAAACATTCTGCTTTCCAGTATGTAAGAGGACTGCCGGGAACTGGAAAAGTTCGGTAAATCTTTCGTCTCCCCAAGCAGTAATGATCTTGGGTTCCAGTAATTTCCCTCCAACAGTTGGGCTTTGGAGATGTCGACAGATCCTCGCCTTCCTCAAGCTCAGGCTCTAACAGCTTCAGGAAGTAAAACATCAATCTTGTGCGATTTATAGTACGTGTGCTCTGTTCGAGGCCTATATTTGGTGGAATGCCTTCATTAGTGCCAACCTCTTCTGGGAGGCCACGAGGGTCCTCATTTCCAGTATATTCTGAGTGCTACTGAACATGCCCAGTGTCATCGGCTAAAACTTGGGCCCTGGCCCCTTGGGGCCTTCCTCTGGACACCCTCTGAGGCCCTAGACTGAGGGAGAATAGTCTGTCCTATGTTAATTCTCACTCAGCCCAAGTTACTGTACCTCCTGCCAAGACTTTTGAATGTGAAATCTGAAATAGGAGTCTTTTGTGATTATAAAATAATGTATGTTCCTTAAGGAAAGTTTACAGAAGAGAGTTTTAAGAACTTATTGTCTATAACCCTACAGTTTGGGGTGTTTCTTCTCAACATTTTTATGTGTTTCCCTTCAGTCCTTTATTCTATCCTTACTCTGCGTGGGGATCATGCTGTCTGTAGTTTTATCAGGGCAGAGACTAGCACTACAGTGCCTTTGTGGGAATTAGTCAAAGGGGCTCCTTTCTCTAGGTGGGCTCCATCCCATGCCAGGGGTCATGGCCTATATGTCAAGTTCAGGTTGGATTTCAGCCCATACTTGCCCCCTTAGTCAGATGCTTTCTGTTTGATCCAGGAAAGGGTGAACAGAGCCAAGCTCCTGTATAACTGGCCGGTTCTCTTTTCACTTAAACTTACACTGTGAACATTTCCCCATGTTATGATATGTTTCTTGAAAACAGGACTTAACAAGATAAATCACAGATCATATGGCTGCCTACAAAGAAAATTCAAGAGAATCTAGAGACACATTATTAGAACTGATATGAGCATTGGAATATATGAGATTAATATAAAAATCCATTTCTATCCACACTATCAACAAATAATTAGAAAATGTAACAAAGAGAAAATTTATCTAGACTTTTATACTAAGGTGGAACAATATTCAATATTAACATGGAACAGGAAACCCACAAATACCCACTTAACCGTGACCTAGTCTGATGTAGACAGTTGAGTAGAATGACAAGCTTCAGGGGAGGGATGGGGACTCTGGAGCTGTCACCTAGGACTGTGTGAGGCCTTCCCAGAGCCTGACTCTGTTCTTCTCCTGCTTCTGCTCCTCCTTCCTCACCCCCCTCTCTCTGTGTCCCTGTCCTGCTGCAGGCTGACCACATCGGTGGATGCTATGGTTGCCATCTGCGTGATTTTCGCCATGTCCTTCATCCCAGCCAGCTTTGTCCTTTATTTGATCCAGGAGAGAGTCAGCAAAGCCAAGCACCTCCAGTTCATCAGCGGAGTGAGCCCCACCACCTACTGGCTGACCAACTTCCTCTGGGACATTGTACGTGTCAGGTCATGGCCCTCCTTTGCCCCCTTGGGCCCAAGGTGGGCGGGTGCTTGTGTCTGCTCTGACTGAAGGGACACAGCAGGTGGGGCTCTCACATGGCCAGGGCTGCTGGGAGGGGCTTGCCGAGGGCCTTGTGTGTCTGCTGTCTCCTGACATCTTCTTAGAAAGGCACAGAACCAGGAGACCTGAGCTAGGGAAGGACGTGGGGCTCAGCTTAACAGCTGCTGAGAGGGGGCTCTGCATGCCCCACCTTAGGGGGCCTTCTGACCCACCACATAATCACTGCACTGCAGGCATGCGGCTGGGCTTCCTGGGAGTAATCTGGAGCTGAAGGGCTCCTTCACCCCACATCCTCTTCTTAAACCCTGCCCCACCCCCAAAGGGGTAAGGATGGCACTTCCCCTGTGGTAGAGTCACCAGACAAATATAGGACACCCAGTTAAATTTGAATTTCAGACAAACAATGAGTGATTTTTGGTATAAGTGTGTGCACCCCCGAATATTGCATGGAACATACTTATCCTCAAAAAATTTATTGATTGTTTGTCTGAAATTCAAATTTAACTGGGCACTGTATATTTTTATTTGCTAAATCTGGCAACCCTACCCAGTGGTCTTATTTTGCTTTCCCAAAGCTATCAGACCTTCGCTATACCAGATTAGGGAAAATGAAGAAAAAATTATTTATAAAATCAACAGCAGGATTGATGGCAGGAGAGAGGGGTCAGGATGGGTTACATTATGACAGGCCACAGGATCAAAATGAATTGGCAGCAAAGGCGCAGTTATAATGTAGCAGGATCCTTACGACACCAACTCTAGTCTGTTCTGGGCATCTTGGGTAACGAGATCTTTTGTTTTATCTCAACATTCTAAGACCAAAGTGAGTCTCCACTTCATATGATGATAAAATATATCATGATGGAGATCAACACAGACAACATTCTCCACTGGGGCTTTTAATAATGTTGGTGAATGTTAGGGTTCCTGAGGACATGGTTTCTTTTATCTTACTCAACTTATTAAGCAGCCATCACTTGACAATACACAATCAGAAATTACCAGTGGCAACCAAATTCTTTCTGCTCTCTTGTATCTACGTGAAAAAACACTCCTGAACACATGGGGACGAGGTCAGAACCTACAAGCCTCACTTTGAGCAAGAACATCACCTACAGGTGCCCACATTGGCCTGTGCTTTTAACATGAAAGGAGCTAGCTCACCTGCTCTGCAAAGCTGTTAAAGTGCTGGTTTTTACATTCTACTTTTTTTTAAAGATCAGGAAAACAGTTTACACTTGGGGCTGACTCGTGTGTGTGTCTGGCTACAGACAGAGATCTCTGAGTCTAAGCAGAGATATGTGGCTAGAAGGACAGAGTGGGTATCTGGGGTGGGAGGCGATACTAGCAAAGTAGTCACTTGGCAATCCAATAAGGAGTTAGAAGACAGTGAATATGATGCTGGCAGACTTCCCGATGCTCAGAATTCTGAGGCTGGCCTGCAATCTGAACTCTAAGATCTGTAGTGTTGGAGCTTATCATCCTCTTAGCCAATGGCAAAAAGACAACACACGCCTGGGGGTCATTGTTGACGGAATGAACACTTACTGTTTATACCATTCACTCAGCACATATATGATGTCTTAAGTTCTTATCTTTTTACATATGTCATCTGTTTTCTTTTTCTTTTAAATTTTGAAACAATCACAAACTTACAGAAACATTGCAAGTACAGTTCAAAACTTTTTTTCAAAACTCTTTGAGAGTAACTTCTCAACAAGATGCCCTTCACACACACACACACACACACACACACACACACCAGCACCTCCAGTGTGTACCTTCTACAAATGATGACACACCCCATACAACCTCAACACAACTGTCAGCATCAGGGAACCAGCACGGATGCACCACCTCCATCTAATCGTCTGGCCCCACTCAAGTTTCACCAAGTTATAGAAAAGGATCAGCTCAGAATCACTCATTGCATTTAGTTGTCTGTCTCTCCAGTCTCCTTCAGCCTGAAATGTTCCTCAGTCTTTCCTTGACACTCATGACCTTGACAACCTTGAAGATCACAGGCCAGTTGTTTTGCAGAATGTCCTTCAGTGTGGATCTGCTCAATGTTTCCTCATGCTGCAATCAGGTTATGGCAGGGGTACCACGAAGGGATGCTCTGTTCTTTTCCCTGCATCCTATCAGGTAGCTTCTGATCTCAATTTGTCCTGGTACTGATAATAGTCACTTTGATCACTTGATTAAGATGGCATCTGCCAAGCTTCTCCACTGTAAAGTTACTCTTTTCCTCTTTATAATCAATAAGAATTGGAGGGAGAGGTACTTTGAAGCTATATAAATACCCTATTTGTTATCAAACTTTCCGTTTATGCCTGTATGGGGTCAAGGTTCCTGAATTAATTAATGGATTACAATATGATACTATTCTTACTTATTTTGATGCTGAAATTACCCCCAGTTTGACCAGTGGGAGCCCCTTCAAGCTGGCTTCAGTCTCCTCTTGACTTGTGTCCCCATCATCCTTGAGCACCTCCACGCTCTCTGGCACAACAAGATGTTCCAGCTCATCCTGCATCTCCTCCCAGCCCTACCCTGGAATCAACCATCTCCCCAAGAAGCCCTGGTTCCTTCACTGGAAATGACTCTCAGAAACCAAGATCTGGGTCTAGATATGTTCACTGCCACTGGGGTCTCAATGGTCCCAGGCCTTCTCAGTGGAGAGAACTAGAGGAGATATACATATATACATAATATATAATATAATATATGGAGCTTAGCACCCTCATTAGCTAGTATATATATATACACATACATAGATAGGCACACATGTACATAGATATCTCTCTATATATCCATACACTGAACTATGAGCTCATTAAAACCTTTAGTTCCCATCTAACACCACAGGCTCATTCTGGTTTTCTGTCTCTCCATATTTGTAACTCCCTTCTCCAAGAGTGAGAAACTGACTTCTATCACCCCCGGCTGACTTGCCTACCTGAGCAATACACCTGTATGTCATAAGTCCCCCATCTCTGCCACCCCATCCCAGTGTGGATACCCTCTTCCCTCTGCACCAGCTGCCCCCTACATGGAGGTCCTCCTCATTCTGCTCTGGCTCTGATACCCTGCACCAAATCAGTCCCCTGTAAGGACACCCTCCTCACCCCACTGGGGCTCCAACACCCCACACCAGCCCACCCTCTGTGGACGCCCTCCTTACCCTTCTCGGGTTCTCATCCTGCTCAGGACCACTGTGACTCCTCCCCTAACCCCACCGTGACTGCCCACCTGTCCCTGTCCCACCTAATGGCTTTAGGACTGAACTGTGTAGGAAAGGAAGAAAGGAGAGCAAGTGATGAAAGAGTATCATGTATTTGAGCTTTGTGAGGCCAAGGACTATATTTTAAGATTTTCTGTATTTTGGAGACATGCTTACAAAGTAGAATCAACAGAACTTCGTGACCAAATAGAAAGAGAGAATAAGAGATCAGTGGAATTTTATAATTCATTCTTTCAGAAGATACAGGCTGAAGGTTCCCTACACAGGGAGGTGGGGGTGGATGGGGTAGGAGGTCTGGGGACAGCTTAACACGTGTTTGCTAACCAAGAACTGTTTAGACAAATAGAGTCAGAATCCCAGATGGTAAGAGCTGGAGGAGGCTGGCCCAGCCCTCGTTTTACAGAACAGGAAACAGGTCCAGAGAGGTTAAGTGCCTTGTCCTCCTCTCCTCTCTTCTAGATGAATTACGCCGTGAGTGCTGCGCTGGTGGTGGGCATCTTCATCGGGTTTCAGAAGAAAGCCTATACTTCTCCAGACAATCTTCCTGCCCTTGTTGCACTGCTCATGCTGTACGGGTGAGTTGTCTGGGCCATTAGCTGATGCTGCCAAAAGGGAAGCCAGGGGACGACATGCCCTTCTGACAGAAAACAGGGTTTCCAGCGGCAAGGTTAGCTTCCAGCCCCTGCAGGGTCTGCGGCTGCCAACCAGGATCTGTCTGGCTTCTGTTTCTCACTCCATGCATGGTGGTATTCCTGAGGCCCAGTCTACTCAGGGACAATGGAGACAGCCACATGGCCTGAATCTTCTTCCACTCAAACTGTGGCCTGACTGAAGTCTGGGAATCCGTCACTCCCCACTTCCTCATCCAGCTTTGATTCTGATTCATCTGTGGCCAATCTGCCCGTCTCAGTGTCTCCGTCTGTACTGGCCAAGAGTTATTTGCGCATAGTAGAAGACTATGGCTGAAAAACTGCTCGTGAGTTAGGGCCAGAGGACGACACAGGGATTAAATCCAGTAGAATTACAGAGCAAAGCAAGCAACTTTATATCCAGGCCTACCGCTCACTGTATATGTAACTGTAGACAGTTCATCCTATCTGGGCCTCAGTTTCCCCATCTGTAAAATGGAGCTAATGATACCTGGCACTTCCTATGCAGGCCCGTGGAGTCTTGCCAGAGCAATGGTCTCCATTCATCTCTCTTGGAAATAGAGAGTTCAGAACCAGCATGACTGACACATCAGCTCCCGTAAACTGTAAAGATGAGCCTGTTGGGATCTCAGCTCAGCTTTGATGATCCAGATTAGAATGGGAAGTATTGCAGGGTGGAGAATGCTCCTATGCCTTGTATAAGGCTTTATAATTTACGAAGTATATTCACAGCTACCATCTCATTTGCTCCTCACAAAACCCCATGAGGTGGTCAGGGCAGGCATTGTTATCTCCATTCAAAGATAAGGAAAAAAGACCAAGGGTTGGGGTATCTCTTTGGTCCCCTTGGACTCTCACCAGTTCAAACATGTCACCTCATGTGTGAGGGGAATGCATTAGATCTGGGGGTACAGCAGATGGAGTGGAAATTAGAACTCCATCCCAGTGAGTTGTGTCATTTCACACAGATGGGCGGTCATTCCCATGATGTACCCGGCATCCTTCCTGTTTGATGTCCCCAGCACAGCCTATGTGGCCTTGTCTTGTGCTAATCTGTTTATCGGCATCAACAGCAGTGCCATCACCTTCATCCTGGAATTATTTGAGAATAACCGGGTGAGCATGACTTTCTTGGCTTCTTTGTTTGATTACTAGGATACTAGATTGTATGTGATGGTCAAGCAGAGCTGTGGGCAAGCCTGGTGTCTGGACAAGCTTTGTGCATAAATGAATGTTGCTTCCTCCCTCTGTCTCTTCTTTTCTTCCTCCCTCCCTTCCTCCCTCCCTCTCTTCCTTCCTTCCTCCCTTCCTTCCTGTCTTTCCGCTCCTTGTTTGTTTGTGTGCTGAGCGTCATGGTTTTCTGAGCTCATTCTGCAAGCTATAGATGACCTTTCATGATCCTAAGCTTTTAGATTTGCTTGCTCCTTCAAGAAGGTTTCCTTTGGGGACTTTAGGTGTTAGGTTTTCTATACACACACACAGACACACACACATGTAAGTAATGCAGTCGTGTGGTTTCAAAATTTAAAAGGAACAAAAAGGTGCACAATGAAAAGTCTCCTTCCTACTCTTGTTTCCCAATCGCCTGGTTCCCTTCTCCAGAGGCAATGTCTCATTTGAATTTCTTATCTGTTCTGGAGACATACAAACAAATATATACTAACATACTTTCTTAAGCAAATTATAACATACTAACATATACTGTTCTACATGGAAATTAATCCTGAGGACAGGATTTGACTTTATGGTGCTGAATGACTCATTTTCATGAGCTATAAAGTCCAGTTGTCCCATTGACAACCCCTAGACTTCTCCTCACCGAGAAAGAACTGGCCAGACTGAATCCTAAATACAATCCCATGGCTACAGAGCTGTCTTTGCTCCACACTCCCACTCCCAGCACACTGGGCCTGAGCCCTGGCCACGGCTGTCCTGGGAACATTCGCAAGGATTGGTGGGCTCGCCTATGTGCCTGTGTCCCAGCAGCCTCTCTGGCCTTTCCTTCCCTCATTAGATCTTTGCAGTTCAGAGGGTGGGCACCAGCCAGCACATCTGCACTGCTGTGCTGTGGCCCCTGTCCCCACCCCTGCCTCTCTGGGAGGACCCAAGGCAAATCTACACTAACCATCCCGTCCCATGGCCTCCTGAGAGTGACTCTTTCTCGGATCTTGTCGGGCTTTCTGTGACCACTAAGCTAGAAACAGAACCCCATCTGTCCCATGACTGATAAAAATGTCCCATGTCACATCAGACCCGAGAAGGGAGATGGATAAGAACACAGATACCCCCGACAGCCAGGGAATTTTTGCTACTCTTCAGAGTTGTTTTTGTCACAGGCTCACAGCCCACTAAGTTTTAAGAGAGTGTGTTACTTCAGAAAAATTAAATAGTAAGCTTACAGCAACTCAAAACATTCTCCCTCCTACAGGCTGCACTCATTTAGCCAACATTCACTGAGCACACCCCCCTCCCCTGCATAAAAGTTGATTGCTTTCACATAAGTTATTGGACAGACAGAAGCTGCAGAAATTCCCAGTCTCCCACAAGATGCTCCCCAGGTCCCAGTAGCTGCTGTCCCTACTCAGTCAAGAGGGATCGACAGGTAAGCACCATGTGGTGGATGTGCTGATACGAACGAGTGTGACCCACTCGTCCTGCCCTCCAGGAACTCCTGTTCCAGTCAGAAAACAATCTGTACAGCAAGTTAGGAACTGATATAAACCACGGTACATGACATTCCATAAGACAGTGTGTGACAGAACGTCAAAGGAGCAAGACAGATGCAACACTACAGGTCAGAGTGGACCAAAGAGCTGGGCTGCAGGGGTCAGGAGCATCTTGGTGAAGGAAATTCAATTTGAGCCTGGCCTGGAATAAGTAGAGTTTTATTAGCACATTTAATAAATAATGAAGTGCCTACTCTGAGCTAATCGTTGTGCAAGGTATTTAGGAAGGACACCAAAATGATTAGGACCCAGTCCTTGTCCTCCAGGGACCATTGACTAGTGGAGCAAGTGGACAGATAAAAATACTTAATGCTGGCAATGTGGTAAGTACCGTAAGAGAGGAGTGGATATTTTTACCACAGGAATCTGGAAAGGCTTATGAGGGAAGGGGTCATTGGAGCTAGCTTTCTAAAGAACCGCAGGAACCTGCCGGAGAGCAGAGAGGAAGGAGAATTCTTCCCTGCTAATAGCAATGGTTAATAGAAGCTGCGAGTGCAAAGGCCCAGAGGCAAAAAAGGAGTAGAAAGAAAGAGATGGGGTCGTGTGGGCAAAGGTGTGGAGGCTGGAGAGGAGGAGCGTGTGGGGTAGGGACGGGCCAGATAAGTGGGCAGCAGTGGCCCAGCCTGGAGCCTGGTCAGCCTCACCCCTTGGTGTCCCCTCTGCTGTCTTGGGGGAGCCTCTGCCTGACACTCCAAGGCGAAGACAGCAAGTACAGTCTGACTGCGTGAAAACAAGTGTTCCCAACTCAACACAGACCCCAGAGAGAGTCTCAGGCCCTCTTTTCTGCTGGCGACAACCACAGACAGCTGTAGCTCCCTGTGAGGAGCTGAGAAGCAGAGCTGGGAGACGCTCAGGGCCCCTCTGCCCATTGGTACAAGCTGGGCTAAGACAGAGCCAGTGAAAGAGCTTCATCCCCAGTGATGGCTCACAGCTGCACTAAAGGAGAGAGCACCCGGGCCACTCTCCCGGCAGCTGCTGCATCTCTTGGTAACAGATGCCTTGGAGGGCTCCTGTGTCATTTCAAGTGCATCTGCAGTGAGAGCTCCCAAGCAGACAGCAGGAGGGCTGCTCCTCTCCAGATTCCCGCTCTTGCCCATAAAGTCACCTAGGTTCTTAAGGAAAATAACTCGGAAGTTCCTCACAATTATCCACAGTGGTACGCATTGTAAACGTTTAGAAAATACTACCTGGCGAGAGGCACCTCCTATGAGTATTCCAAGGCTTCCATATCTGTTTGACAAATCCTTGTTGTGGTGCCTGGCTGCTAGGCCACTTTGTCTACAGGCCTTCCCCTGGCCCCCTTGTCCTGCCCTGGAAGGGCGTCAGGCCCCACCCAGCTCAAGAACAGGCAGGTGGGCTTGGCCTCATTACTGACTCTCCTGCTTTTCTGTGTTTCAGACACTGCTCAGGTTCAACGCCATGCTGAGGAAGCTGCTCATTATCTTCCCCCACTTCTGCCTTGGTCGGGGCCTCATCGACCTGGCGCTGAGCCAGGCTGTGACAGACGTCTATGCCCGGTTTGGTGGGTAGAGTGTGGCCCTGGATCCTCTGAGGCTGGGAGGGCTGCAGCGGGAGTTCCTACATCAGACCTGCCACCTGGGCTGGGGCTGGGGGCACCTGGTTGATCTGGGATTGTCCTGCCACCTAAGAGGGATCAGGGTGCCTCTGTTTCCATGGCTAAGGAGCCACGGGAGGGGTCGAGGGCAGTCTTCAACTCTTCCCTATTCTGACTTGAGCCAAGATGAGACTTGGGTTTAGCTCTCACTTAATCCCTTGCATAAAGCCTGGTCTAGCTGGGCCTAGTGTCATACCAGGTCTCCAGGGACAGCTGGGGCTGCTGAAGTGGACGTAATTCCTGCTGATTTCCGGTGACCTCCATCCCCAGGTGAGGAGCACTCTTCAAATCCGTTCCAGTGGGACCTGATTGGGAAGAACCTGGTTGCCATGGCAGCAGAAGGGGTGGTGTACTTTCTCCTCACCCTCCTCATCCAGCACCACTTCTTCCTCACCCAATGGTATGTTCCTGCCACTGCTCTGAGGGTGCCAGGGGCAGCTCCTGTGTCCGTCCGGGGACTCGACTTCACATCCCTGTGGTCGTCTCTTTTCTTATGAGCCCCATCCATGGTTGTTTTTATGTTCCTAAAGACTGGCTTGCTCTGAGTAATACAAGAAGGAGAGGCACGTTAAAATAGGCGTGTTAGAATTTGTGAAGAATCTAAACTCTAAAATATTTAAAATACAATGTTATTAGTTTCAATCACTAATATTTAATCTGTCTCATTTAATTAACAGATACTCATTTTAAATTGGATGATAGCATCACAAACGACAATGGTGACGGGGTATCCAAAGTACTAAGAAGCAGATTTATGCATTCATAGACAAACAGGCCCCTTTGCTAATTAGAGATTTGAAAGTGGGAGCAGGGCAGAGAGGAGGGGAGTAACATGGGGGTGATGTTCGAGTTGAGCACAGCCAGGGGCCCTGTGGAGGGGGAAGGGCAGTGATCACAGGGGTAAGGGTGGGGGTGCAGGAGATGGAGGAGGTAGCCACCGCTTACGCTGACTCTTTCCCAGGCCTTCTCAACTGCCCGGTCAGTGGCCGTGGCCCCAGCCCAGCCAGGCCATTCTTCCCCAGGCTCTCTCTCTGCCTCATCCTGACATGGGTGCTCAGGTTTGCAGAAGGCAGCCCCTCTGCAATCCAGGCTGACCTTTTCTGGGCCCAGCCCAGGGGCCAGAATTGCAAATCGCTGGACCCTCACAACAAGCTTCCCTGGACAGTGGTTCGTTTCTTCTCCTTTCATGCTCTCAGGCTGAGTCTGGTCACTCGTTTACATAAATGAAGATTCAGAAGGCTTCTTTTGGGATTTTGATCCACAGGGAATTGAGTGATTGCAAACAAATCTGCCTCCCTATTCACAGGATTGTGAGGATTGAATGAGATGATGGGTGTCAACACGCTGAAGAAAACGACGTGATCGGGCAGTAGTTCTAGTTATGGGAGACAGTGGGAGGAACTGCTGTCCTCGGGACCCTCCGTCCTTGCAGGCCCCCCTCCACAGCTTTGGCCACATCTTTTAGAGGCCTTTCAGGGGACGAGGGGCAGAAAGTTGTTTACCAAAACAGACTCATTAGCTTCAAACTCCGATATCAACACAATTGAGTCCTAACTGCATTAGGCCCGAGAGAGGACCAGAGACGCATACCACAACCTCTGGCTTCAAGAAGCTTGCAGCCACGCCCATACTGAGAGGCAACCAGGCAAAGAGAGGGGCAGGGAGGAAGAAAGGGTGCTCTTGTAGAGGACACAGCCTGCCTGCGGGGAGTATAGGATGGCTGTGAAAGGTGTGGGTGAAGAGGGACGAGAGATGAGCCTGGAGAGGTGGGCAGATCCAGGTCGTGAAATGCCCCTTCACCTTGATGAGGACATGGCACTTAGCCTGAGGACAGCAGAGAGCTATTGGGGTGTTTTTTGTTTGTTTGTTTTATTGAGGTCATATTGGCTTATAATGTTGTGTAAATTTCAGGTGTACGTTATTATATTTCAGTTTCTGTATAGACTGCATTGTGTTCACCACCAATAGTCTAGTTTTTATCTGTCACCATACGTATGTGCCCCTTTACCCCTTTCGCCCTCCCCCCACCCCTGTCCCCTCTGGTAACCACTAATCTGTTTTCTTTATCTTCCACATATGAGTGAGATCATATGGTGTTTGTCTTTCTCTATCTGCCTTATTTCACTTAGCATAGTACCCTCAAGGCCCATCCGTGTTGGAGTGTTTTAATCAGGGGAGTGACATGACCTGCCAGGGCTGGAAGCAGAGAAACTAGACAGGAGCCATTTTGGTGCCCAGGCAAGAACAATGGTGGCCTAGATAGGAGTGGGGGCCTTGGGAGATGGAGAAAAATAGGTTGACTGGATAAGTAGTAGGAAGTTTGTTAGACAAGACTTGGTGATGAACTAGATGTGACCTGTGAGAGAAGAAGGAAAGACAGTAGGCCGAGGTGGTCAGGGAGGGTTTCAGAGAAGAGGCTGTGTCTTTAAGGATGGGGAGGTTTCCCTCTGGCAGGCAGGAAGAAGAGAACATTGAGGGACTGGAAGTTCCCTGGAACTATGAGGGAGTTGCGAAAGGCCGGCATGGGCTGGGGACCAGGGTAGATCAAATGGTTGGTGGAGGAGTTAGTTCAAGAGATAAGTGAGAGAGCAGCTGGGGAGGGGAGGTGGGGCCTTTGCAGGGCTCTGGGATTTTAGATGAGCAGTTAGGGTTTTAACGTCCAGCTGATGGAGAAGCATGAAATGGCTGGGGGCATGAGGTGACCTGATGGGCTGGAGGACGTAGGAGGCTTGGTCGCTAGTAACTATTGTTTACTGAGTGCTTACCCCAGGTGAAGTGTTTTGGTAATGATGACAGCTACCAGGTTTTGAGTCTTGACGCTGTGCCAGACACTGTGCCAAGTTCATCTTCACCACAATCCTATGAGGTAGACATTATCATCCCCTCCCTATCTTATGGTGGAAGGAGGTGAGGTTTAGAGAGGTTCAAGGGCATGCCCAAGGTCACACATGAGGCAGCCAGGACTGGAACCCAGGGCTGACTCTGGACGTGAGCGCTTGCCCTCTCTGCCTAATGGCTGATGCTTCTCCTGTTGGGAGTCCTTTTGAGAATTCAAGCCGTAGGGGATGGAAGGCCAGCCTGGGGCAGAAGGGAGGAAATGGGAAGAAAGTAAGATGAAAAGGACAAAGCCAAGGACGCTGTACAACAGCCCAATCCTGCCCCTTTTCCTTCGTCTAGGATTGGGGAGCCCTCTAAGGAGCCCATCGTAGATGAAGATGATGATGTGGCTGAAGAGAGACAAAGAATTATTAGTGGAGGAAATAAAACTGATATCTTACGGCTAAATGAACTAACCAAGGTAAGGGAATAGGTGTGTTTGTTTGGAGGTGCCGGTTGGACCCAGAGATGGCATGACATTGTAATTTGCCTTCTGTGGAATAAGCAATATGCCTATGCAAGCAATTCGTTTTCCTAATTTTATGTGGGGTTGTCATCTCTGTCTCATAACTTGTCTTCCAAGGACATCTAATTCCGATGCATTTTCCTCAGCATCCGTCTTGGGTACTGACACAGGGGCTCAGCGAGAGCCACTCCAACTGAGCACTGCTAACCTTTCTCTGTTCCTTTTCTGCTCAGTGGGTCAGCTTTGAGATTTCTCAGCACTCACAGCACCTATCTGAACACCTGTGTCAATACGTAACCTCCTTGTGTTGGTAGTTTTCGCCTAAACCATCCTTTGCTCTCTCTTGCCTTCCTGCTCTAACCCTCTCTCAGTCCTCAGTCCAGTTTCTCTGGGTCTTGCAGATTTACTCAGGCTGCTCCAGCCCAGCAGTGGACAGGCTCTGTGTGGGAGTTCGCCCCGGAGAGGTGGGTACTCTGCAGACCACACGTGAAAGGGGTTTCAGAAAATCAGCTCCTGTGCATGTCTCTTCCCCAACTTGAAAGCAGAGCTACCCAGTAGAAATAAAACAGAAGCCGCCATAGGTCATTTTAAATATTCTAGTAGCCACATGAAAAAAGTAAAACCAGATGAAATTCATCTTAATCATTTATTTTATCCAATATATCTGAAATATTATTGCTTCAACAGATAATTCACATAAAACATTTTTAATAAGATATTTTACATTCTTTTTCTTTTTCGTTCTTAGTCTTCAAAATCCAGTGTGTGTTTTACACTCACAGCACACGTCAGTTTGGACTTGATGCGTTTCCAGTGCTCAGCAGCCACTGTAGGGGACTACCCTCCTAGGTTCCCTGGCTGGGGCTTTGTAAATTGGACTGACAAAAGACAGGTTAAGAAGAAAAAAACAAAGAGAAGTTTATTAGCCTGCGCATCACATGTACACAGGGGAAACGAATGACTCAAAATGGTGGTTAGAACTTGGGCTTAGAGAGCATCTTAGCAAAGGAACAATACATTTTTAGAGAAGTGACAAGACAAAGGAAAGGGACTTTGAGTTTCTAGGGGTGGCAAATTGTGGGAAGGCAAATATCTGGGGAACTAATGGTAGATAAAGGCTAGTTAGGAAAGTTTGTTATGTAGATTCCTCTGGTGCCATCTCCAGGCTGATAAGGGTCTAGAATTTTCTCCAGTGATTCACTTTTGTCCTTCCTGTAGAGAGGATAGGGGAACACCTTGTAAATTTATGTCCTGCTTTTAGGCAAAATAGGGGGAGAGCAGAGGGCTTTTCTTGTATCTGCTGCTTCCCAATTGCCTTCACCTCAAAATCATCCTTATGCCAAAGTGATGTATTTTGGGGTGGCGAATCCCGCTACCCTACACCACACGTGGCTAGTGGCCTCCATAATGGCAGCACAGGTCTAAAATGCCTCCCCCCAAACCCACACACTTGCCCTGGGCCCAACACTCCAGACCTTGGGCTCTAGGGCGAGGCCGATGGTGTGTGTTCTCCCACAGTGCTTTGGCCTCCTGGGAGTAAACGGAGCTGGCAAAACAACCACATTCAAGATGCTCACTGGGGACACTACAGTGACCTCAGGCGATGCCACTGTAGCAGGCAAGAGGTGAGTGTCTTGTTCATCCTATCTCAGGGTATCTCTGAGAGGTCCTGTGCCATGTCCCTGTGCCAGCATTGGGAGGGTGAGCATCAGACCCTGTATCTGAGGGTGACTCTGAGAGCGTGAAAGATATGTACAGAGGAGTGGACCTCCCAGCAAGCAGGGTCCAAAAAGTCCAAGACATAGACCTTCTGGAAAATTGAATTGAATTATGATTGTTAAGAGATTCCTCTGTTAGCATGGATTCTTAGAAAGTTCTGGGAAGCACTAAGTCAGTGGTTCTTACTTTTTTGGGGTCATGGACTCATTTGAGTATCTGATGAACACTTGCACCTTCTGCCTATAAAAATACATCATTGCCCCTTATTACCTCCCTCCACACATTTTTGCAAACACTTTCAGGGAGTTTACTGAGCCCTGAAGCACATTTGTCATCCTGAAGGACCCCTGGGTCCCAGGTGAAGAACCCCTGTGATGAAGCATACTTTCTCTGGGTCGAGTTTCTAGATAGAGGCTAGTTCAGGTCCCTCCAGGACGTTAATCTGCCTTGGCTATCTTTGCGTTGATGCTTGGTTTTGCCAGGCCAAAGAGCCTTCATAAATGGAAAACTGGCATATGCCCTTGGATTCTGAAGGATGCCTGCTGCTCTCTGTAATAAGGTGTGAGTAAACAGACTGGTTGTCAGTGGGACAGGATAGAGAACATGAGCTCGCACTTTTTGCCTCTTTCCAGGCTGCTCCTTGAACAGCAGAGCGCACACACATTAGGTGTGCCCAGAGGAACCCTCTGCCCTGGTTTATAAGTGGAGTGAAGCACTGTTGATGTCTGCCCAGCATCTGCCTGATTGGGACCTCCTTCCCTCACCTGAGAGCCATCCTCAGCGTGGTCGGGCAGGGGGAGCCCTGAACATGCTTCACTGGCTCAGACAGGATAAATTTGGTTCTCTGGCCTTCCCCAGCGATTCTTGTTGGGTCTAGAGCAGAGGGACTGGCAGGGGTGTAGCCAGCCACGACTGGGGCTATCTTATCTATAGATACAGGTTAGCCTGCAACCAAGCAAATGACTTCATGATGGTAACACAAGGAGTCTTGGGGAGGCAGCAGGTTGGGGGGAGGAGGATGTAAGAGGATTTACCATGAGACATCAAGTTATAGTCCAAGTCTGATGCCCAGAAGGTGAAACTGAGATAGAAGCTAGAAAGACACTATAGGTTCAAGACATAGGATTGGGATTTTCTGGTGGGGTAGCTCCTGTGAATTTGGCGAAGTAGCCTCCTTGCTTCCCTGGATAGTTCTAACTGGCCCATCCATATCTGAAGTTGTTTTTGTCATAGTGAGGGACTGCTCGGCCTCTCTCTATCCCATCCTATTACATCCATCCTTTATTCATAGACCCTAGGCTATAAGGGGAGGGGGAAGAGATTAGACCAGTCTATGGACAGTTTATTTTTTCATCAAGGCAATATATTTTCTAGTGGGAGAGAATATGTTAGTCAAAGGGAGCTAATAGAATTCAATTCACTTCATCTCTTCTCCCTGCCAGCCTCTTGCTCTGGGTGGTAATCTGGTAGGTTCCTCTTACATTGGCCGTATCTCTGCCAATAAATACAGGTGGAGAAGTTTACTTCCATTGGGAAGGATGCATCTTCTCTAGCTACTTCCCAAACGTCTGAAAGGGATCAAAAACCACTGGTCGTGTTCTTAAACCTGATCTTCCGTTTGTTTTTAAACTCACGTGTGAGGTGATGCCATCCAAAGCCAAAGCTGACTGTGGGTAACAGGTGTTCAGTTGATCCTAGACAGGGAAACTGGGGAGGATCTGTGTGGATTCAAAGCTCAGAGCTCCTGACACTTGTCAGTTTCTAAGCGAAGGGCCCCTGCTTTGATTCCTAAACATTGTACACATTTCTGAAGCAAAGTGGGAAGAGAGAAGAGGCAGCTCCCTTATCCCATTGGCAGAAGCTTCTCCAGCCCCAGCTCTCGGACCACTCCCTCTATGAAGGAAACTTGCTAATTGCTTTTTGTTTTTGCAGTATTTTAACCAATATTTCTGACGTCCATCAAATTATGGGCTACTGTCCTCAGTTTGATGCAATTGATGACCTGCTCACAGGGCGAGAACATCTGTATCTTTATGCCCGGCTTCGAGGTGTACCAGCAGAGAAAATCGAGAGGGTAAAAAATGGTTTGTTATGGCCACTCAGATGTTTGGTAAACCATAAGCCTGTTTCATGAAAGTGCATTTATTTAGAAATGGGAAAGCTGGAACATGCTATCCATTCATTCATTCAACAAATGCTTACTGAGGGTCTACTATGTGCCAAGTACTGTTTTGGAAGATGGGGGTATAGCGGTGAACAAAACAAAAAATCCCTACCCTCATATCTAACAAAATCATACACGCATTTACCCTTGATCCAGCAATCCCACTTCTGGGAATTTACCCTGAAGATACACCTCCCACAGTACAAAATGCTTATGCACAAGGTTATTTATTGCATTTGTAGTCACAAAATATTGGAAATTACCTAAATGTTCACATAGATGATTGGTTGAATAATTTATGAGACATACACACGATAAAGTCTTATGCAGCTGTAAGAAAACAAAACAAAGAACAAGGGAAATCTCTGGGAACTGATGCGGAATTATTTTCCAAGAGATATTGTTAAGTAAAAAAAGCAAAGTGCAAAAGAGCACGTGTAGAATGCTACTTTTTAATGTAAGAAAGTAGGAAAAATAAGAAAGCATACATATGTCTACTTACCTTTACAAAAATAAAGTTGGAAGGATAAACCTGGAAACAATGAATCTGGTGATCAACAAGAGGGAAATGGGAGGGAATTAACACTTCTCTCAGGATATCTTTTTGTATAGTTTTGACTTCTGGAAGCATGTTAATGTCCTACATACTCAAAAAATAAAACTAAATCAATAAGAATAGGAAGAGAGTAAAAATGAAAACAAAAAGAAAATCCTGACACTGAAAGCAAACTGAAACAAATTAATCCAATTTTATTTCAAATAAATATTATAATCATACAGAAGGGGAGGAAAAGAACTAATAAAAATAACTAATGACACAGTATTTGACTATATAGCCTCAGTCTCGGGCAGGTAGAGCAGAGGGAAAGAACTACAAACCAATTCTAAGCTCTTTTTAGCCAATATGTTTTTTATAGTGGCATGAGCAAAGCAATTCTGAAATAATTTTTGATGTATTATAGGACTAAGTAAATGAATAAATGTGTTAATGACTTTGAGAGCTAGAGTCCTCACTGTGGAAGAAGGGACATGCAAATATGGAAAGGGGTAAAGCAAGAAGGAGCCCTGTGGGGATGGATTGGAATTGGAGATCTTACTGTGAACTCATGAAATATTTATATGCATGTGTTTGTGCGTGCATGTGTATGTGCTCATGGATATTGCACATAGGCACGTATCTGTATGTGCATATATGTGTGTATGTTTGTGTATGCATATATCTGTCCTCTGAAAGGGCCAAGAAGCAAAAATACCCCAGTAGCAACGAGCACACTTCGTGCCAGATTTTGGTCTCTAATACTATTCCCCACCAAAAAGAACCATGACTCCTCAGGTAAATGACAAATTTCAGGGCTGGGTCACCATAGGTATAAAATGAGCCTGGAACATCTTATGATGCCAGAAAGTTAAAAAGAGCTTTCAAAAAAATGATGGCAGGGCCAGCCCCAGTGGCCTAGTGGTTAAGTTCAGCACGCTCCGCTTCAGTGGTCGGGGTTCGGTTCCCAGGCACAGACTTACACCACTTGTCTGTCTGTGGTCATGATGTGGCAGCAGCTCACATACAAAAAGGGGAAGATTGGCAACAGATGTTAGCTCAAGGTGAATCTTCCTCAGGAAAAAAAAATGATGGGAGCATATCACAAGAACACAGGAGCCATCTTGAAGGGGCTCCCAGTGACCAAATATAGAACAATTTGAGCATCAAAATAATTAAATACCATGATAAATTATAAAACATTGGGAGAAAAGTAGGAATTCATAAGTCCATACTGTTAAATAGATAAATAAACTGGAGAGAAGGGAGGGTTCTTGCATATAGTCAAATGCTGAGATCCAACTGGTTAGTGTGGAGGATGTTCTGGAGTTGGAAAATCATTTTGCAATGATCATAGTAAAGATTGGATTGCACAAGAATTGTCAATGGTTGCTAAATCTAGGGGAAATTTTTTATAAGAAGCAAGATATTTGTGTGGTTTAAAATTATCTCCCTACAAATTGCTTATTGCTTGCGATGGAAGCATAATAATAATTTTATAATGGAGAAATTAGACAACAACTTAACTGGATGATCAAACTTAACATGACCTAGGGGGGCAGATGGTCATCTCATGCCCCTATATGTGATACCCTGAGAAGGACACAACTTAACCTACGGAATATTCTGATTGGGAATGCATAACCTGAATCTTATCATGAGGAAACACCAGACAAACTCCAAAGAAAGAACATTCTATTAAAGAGAATTCAGGAACTGTATTCTTAAAAAATATCAAAGTCGTAAATGACAAAGTAAGGCTATGGAAATGTTCCTGATCACAGGAGGCTAGGTAAACACAGTGTCTGAATAATGGACACTAGACTGCATCTGGTACTGAAGCGAAAATAATACAATGAAGCATGTTATTGGGCCAATTGACAAAAGCCAACTATGAAGGGTAAATTAGATTAAAATATTGTAACAATGTGAAATTTACTGACATTGATATCTGTACTGTGGTTATATAAGAGAATATCTCTATTCTTAGGAAATATATACCGAAGTATTTAGGAAATGAAGGGCCATGATGTATAGCTCACCCTGAAATGGATCTGAAAAAGATGTGTTTGTGTGTATGTGTGTGTGTATGTGTAAGAGAGGGAGAGAGAGAGAGTAAAGGGTTTGTGAGTGTTCTTTGTACCATTCTTATTCTCACTTGTTTCTGTAAGTTTGAAACTGTTTCCAAATAAAAAGTTAAAAACGGAGCTTACATTCTAGTGGGAGGGACAGACAATAAATAGATAAATAAGTAAAATATACCGTATATTTGAGAGTGAAAAGTCCTTGGGGGAAAAATAGAGCAGGGAAGAATTGTTGGGTGGGGTTGGCACGTGGAGGTAGGCTGGCCCAGGGCAAACCTCACAGAGGAGGTGACTTCTGAGTGAAGACTAAAGGAGCTGAGAGAGTGAGCCGTGTGGCTATCTAGGGGAAGAATATTCCAGGCAGAGGCACAAGGGCAGAAGGCAGCAGCATGGTGGGCTTGTCTCCAACGACTTGTCTAGTTTTCCTCCTGTGCACACGTGTGTGCACGTGCACACACACACAAACACAACGCAAACACACCTGTGACTCTCTGTCATAGTTTCCTGTTGAGTTCCCTCAAAGCACTGTTATAATCTATCATCATTCTGTTTATTTCGGTTGTCTGTCAGCACCCCCACCATCTGTGAGTACAAGGTCAATGGTTATGTTCACCATTATTCCCCAGTGCCTAGTACAGTGCCTGGCACACAGTGGGTGCTCAATAAGTATACATTTGATGCACAAGACCTCAAATGTGTCCCTGTTCAGGGGTGAAATCAACAGGTCTGGGACTCACCATCTTCTCAAACAGACTCTAGAACTCTTCCTCTCCCCTCCTAAGCCATAGTCCTGGACACTGGGTGAGAAGCACTGCCTTGTTCTTTGTAAGGCTGAAGGCCAATTTTCAGGGGGCTGCACCCACCGGCTACTGAGCTGACCAAGACACGCTGGGATCTAAGGCACAGAGTGGATAGGAGACGCCTGGCCCCTGAAGCACGTGCCAGAGAACATGAGCCAGCAGGCGGCCCTGTTGCAGCCCAGCTGGGTCTCTCCTCCTGGATGAGTGAGATCTGCGAACCCAAGGCTTTGAATTGGTGGAGGTTCGAGGTGTTTGCTTGTTTGTCTTTCCCAAATGAGATTTCTTTCTCTTCCCTAGGTTGCAAACTGGAGTATTCAGAGCCTGGGCCTGTCTCTCTATGCGGACCGCCTGGTCGGCACCTACAGTGGGGGCAATAAGCGGAAACTCTCCACAGCCATTGCTCTGATAGGCTGCCCACCGCTGGTGCTGCTGGTGAGGGGCACCACGACCTGTGGGGACAGGCAGGCCCAAGGGCTTGAACCGAGTGCTGCCTCTCTATGGTTGGGGCAGCAGATTTAGAAAATGCAGCAGTCTGTTGTTGTCTGGACTGCTCCCTATACTGCTCATTTTGAGTGATTCAGCCCAGTGTTTGCTTCACAGCTCTTGGGTGGGACTGGAGTCACAGCACATTCTCACTCTGACTTCCTGGGAAGTCTCCTGTGGGGCCACAGGCCCACAGCAGAAAGTTCAGCCCCTCTGGGGATGTAGTGTCGGGTCAGAAATTACTACTGCCCAAGGAGGTCTGTTTGGGATCCGAAGAGGACAGGAGCGTTGGCCTGGATCAAAGGCTCACGTGACTCTCACCGGAGCTGGACCAGGCTCGAGGCCCCCCTTGCCCATGCGATCTGGGGTTTATGAGGGCATGGGTCGCAGGACTTGATGGGAACCAGGAAAGTCACCAGAGCTATCTCCCTGCCTCCTGGCAAACATACGTTTAGGGGTTTGTTGGGTTTTTTTCCTCTTTTTTTTTAAGGTAATTCTGCCATTGTCTTAATCAACCTTAACCCATTCATGGGCTGAGATGAGTCTAGAGATGTGCACGATGTGTCTTGACTCTCCTGATTCACCTCCTGCCTTCTGTACCCTGCGCCGGGTATCCTGCCTGGGTCTCACCCCACTGGGAGTGACTTTGTGCAGCATCTGCCAGAGAGCAGAGCTGCTTGGAGGGCAGCCAAGGAGGGTGCAGTAGCCAGGAGAGGCTAGCTTCAAGCCCTGCCCCTGCCCTCTCTGCCTCCCCACAGGACGAGCCCACCACAGGCATGGACCCGCAGGCACGCCGCATGCTGTGGAACACCATTGTGAGCATCATCAAAGAAGGGAGGGCTGTGGTCCTCACATCCCACAGGCAAGAGATTCCCAGGGGCTGGGGTGGAGCTGGTGGGCAGGCGGGAGTCCTCCCCACCCCTCACTTCCTCTCTCCTGCCCCACAGCATGGAAGAATGTGAGGCCCTGTGTACCCGGCTAGCCATCATGGTGAAGGGTGCCTTTCAGTGTCTGGGCACCATTCAGCACCTCAAGTACAAGTAAGGAGATGGTGGGGGGAGGGGGGCACCTTTATTACCTTCCTGGGAGAGGGGTCAACCAGGCCCTATGCTCTCTACTAACACTTGGGAGGGTCCTGCTGCCCTCCCTTGGGCAGAGGCAGATGGTGGCCTGGCCTAATTCTGCAGCAGCAGGTGGAGAAAGCCGTTGTGCTGAAAGAAACTCCTCTATATTGGGCTAATTGCCTGTGGTTGAAGGCTTGCCAAGTCTCCAGGCGGGGGGTTTTGATTGGAGCATATGCAGAGCCTGGCTGGGATAAGGGAGGGTCACCTCCACTGCCTCATTATCTCACCATTTATCCCAGCAGATCCAGGACTGACGACCTATTTAATAAGAGTCCACAACCAATGTAGGAATGATTAGGAGTGCAAACAGCCTCCAAGTCAGCTTTCCTTTCTGGCACATTGTATGCTTTTGAGTTTGAGAAATAACCAGTATTATGTGACAAACCAGCAATGCCAGTAATGTTCAGTAGGATTATCCTGTCCCCATAAATTGTAAACTGCTATAAACAATGCATTATTAATAACAGTTTATGGGCCAGCCCCAGTGTCCTGGTGGTTAAGTTGGGCGTGCTCCACTTTGGCAGCCTGGGTTCAGTTCCCAGGCACGGACTTACACCACTCGTCTGTCAGTGGCCATGCTGTGTCAGCAACTCACATACAAAAAGAGGAAGATTGGTGGCAGATGTTAGCTCAGCGTGAATCTTCCTCAGCAAAAAGTAAGAATAATAATAATAATAGTTTGTGTGCCAAAGCTGACAGTCAGTTAAAAAAAGGTTGTGATAATAATGCCATGCTCCCTTGCATTCTTCTATTTTATTTTTTTTTGAGAAGATTGGCCGTGTGCCAACATCTGTTGCCAATCTTCCTCTTTTTTTCCTCCTCCCCAAAGCCCCAGTACATAATTGTATATCCTAGCTGTAGGTCCTTCTAGTTCTTCTATGTGGGACACCACCTCAGCATGGCTTGACAAATGGTGAGTAGGTCTGCACCCAGAATCCCAACCAGTGAACCCTGGGCCACCAAAGCAGAACGTGTGAATTTAACCATTACACCACTGGGCCAGCCCCTCCCTCGCATTCTGATATGCTTTATAAACTAGGACAGGGTGGATTTATAGTTTTCACTCATTTATTTAAAAAATACTTTTTGAGAGTCCAGAAAATAAAAGTCACTGTGCTAGTTGGTGAAAGGACCAGCACATAACCCACCTTATCTATGCCAAGTTGTTTAATCATGATGTGCCCATGGGAGTATGTTGCACAGTACACATCATCCTTCATATGCATCAGGGCAGATAAATGATTGAAAAGTCTAGTAGATTAGCTGTATTTGTGTATGTGACCCATGATTTCTTGAGCAACTACAGCTTGGACACTACACAGACATCCAGAGGGACTTCAGCATGTGAGGTCACCAGACCTGTGTCGGCAACTTCTTGTGTCCAACTGCTGGAGACATGGATGTCCCCTACTCCCTTCCCTCTCATTCCTCAGTATCCCCATGGTAGAGCAGGGGAGGGAGAATTCCCCACGTGGAGGGACAGTCAATATTCTGGAGCTGAAGGTAAAGGCATTTTATTGTAGAGGGAAACAACCCTTGAACATGGAAGAAGCACTGAAATAAGTTATAACTGACACAGTATACCCTGATGTAAGCGTGTAGGGAAGCCAGCTGGCCGTGCACACACTCTCTGGTGGACCATTCTTCATCCACGTGTGGGTGACCAGCTCACTTGGTGAGGGGAGGAGGGAAGCACCGATGGCCCTGGCCGCTTCATTTGTTCTGGAAGCTTCCTCAGGGGAGTGCTGCCTTTCCAAGCCTTTGCTCCCACCAGGCCAGTCTCTTAAAGGACCAGACAGCCTTTCTACCACTGAGTAAGCACCAGCCCAATACGCCTTCATGACACCTCTGCCCAGGGCTAAAACCACCTTTGACTTCAGCAAACGTGTTAGAGGGAAAGGAGCAGGGAACATCCTTGTCTCCAGGAGTTGGACACAGAAGCTATGACACAGGTCTGGTGACCCACTTCACCACACAGACATTGTTGTTGTTAGTGCCATCCAGTGGATTCCGACTCCTAGCAGCCCTGTTGACCCTGTGTATAGCAGAGAGGAACCCTGCCTGGTCTTTTTGCACCATCCTCTCACCTTCTGGCACTGTATCAGACAATGCTCCACTGTTATTCCTAGGCTTTCCATGGCCAATTTTTTTTGGAAGTGGGTGGCCAGGTCTTTCTTCCGAATCTGTCTAGTCTGGAAACTCCGCTGAAACCTGTCCACCATGAGTGATCCTGCTGGTATTTGAAATACCAGTGGCATAGCTTTCAGCATCATAGCCACATGCAGCTACCACAGTGTGACAACCGACAGACGGGTCGTGTGGTTCCCTGATCAGGAAATGAACCCGGGCCGTGATGAGAGCGCCAAATCAACCACTAGACCACCAAGGCTGGCTCCCCAGGCACTTAGATGTCTAAAAACTAGTATCAAACTATTTCTCCAAGAACTATTGTGGGGTTTTTCTCCTATTTTAAACATGCACACAAGTTCTAGTGTGGGCCTTTAATCTCCAATATTTTGATGAGTCTATTCCTTATTTTGGGATTGCCTTAGACCCAGCTACTAACAGGCCTGTACCACGCCACCACATGTGTCCCCTAGGTTTGGAGATGGCTACATCGTCACAATGAAAATCAAATCCCCGAAGGACGACTTGCTTCCTGACCTGAATCCCGTGGAGCAGTTCTTCCAGGGGAACTTCCCGGGCAGCGTGCAGAGGGAGAGGCACTACAACATGCTCCAGTTCCAGGTCTCCTCCTCCTCCCTGGCCAGGATCTTCCGGCTGCTCCTCTCGCACAAGGAGAGCCTGCTCATCGAGGAGTACTCCGTCACGCAGACCACACTGGACCAGGCAAGTCGTCTGAGGGGCACCACGTGCAGAGCGGAGCTGTGCAGACTAGGCTGAATGCCCAATTTGGGCTGGAATCCACACGACATGCCTCATTTTTAACACTCTGGTCCCTCTGTCCATTAGGGTAAAACCTAGTATATCAGAAATTGTTTTCTAGCAATATTTTAGTTATCAGCAAACTTGATTAACTTTACATCATCCTTCCCCACTACACTATGACTTTTTTTCATCCTTCCTGGTTTGTGGTGGTGGCTTTTTTTTTCCTTTTCAAATCAACTTTACTGATACTTAATTTACATATAATAAAATGTGCCCATTTAAAGTGTGCAATTCAGTGAGTTTTGACAAACGTGTGTGCCATTTGTCAGGTTTTTTAATGCGATCACTTTTTTTAATGTGGTAAAATGTACATAACATAATTAATCATTTTTAAGAGTACAATTCAGTGGTATTAAGTACATTCACATTGTTGTACAACCATCACCACCATCTATCTCCAGAAATTTTTCATCTCTCAAACTGAAAGTCTTTACCCATTAGACAATAGCTCCCCCTAACCACTCCCCCAGCCACTGGTAACCACTGTTCTACTTTATGTTGACTACTCCATATACATCATATAAGTAGACTCATATGGTATTTGTCCTTTTGTGTCTAGCTTATTTCACTTATAATGTCCTCAGGGTTCATCCATGTTGTGGCATGTGTCAGAATATCCTTCTTTTAAAGGCTGAGTAATATTCTGTTGTATGTATAAGCCACGTTTTGATTATCCATTCATCTGTTTAGACATTTGAGTTTTTCCGGGGTTTTTTGTTGTTGCTATTTGTTTTAAATAAACATCCTTAAAGACTGTTCAATAAAGTGGTGTAAATAGGCAAGTCTCCATTTACCCTTTGAGGAGCTGGCTCACCAGCACCTTCTTGGCAGCCGTGAGCAGAAGAAGGCAAGAGCAGGAGTCACGGCCACACTGCCCATTGAATAAAGAACGGAAAAGGGAAGAGATCAGACTCTTGTTTTGTTTTTCGCTTTTAGCTTCTTCCTTAGAGGTTTAGGAAGACGCTGCTAGCTGAGAATCTGCCTTGCCTTGTTTACCCCAAGCCCTGGTGCCCCAAGTTCCTTGAGTCCTCCCACAGGAACTCCTTTGGCTTAGCTCAGAATTCTAAAAAGCAAGCCCTGTCCAGAGACCTGGTGGCCGGGCTTCCTTGGGTGGGCCAGCCTCCCCTCCTACAGAACATAAGCTGCTCCAGCAGGGCTGTACATTAACTGTGGAAAAGAGAAAGCAAAGTGAGTGGGTGGGTGCAAGGTACCATTTTTCTGGAAACATCTACTTACTTGCTCTTCTCTTGCCTCCAGGTGTTTGTGAACTTTGCTAAACAGCAGACTGAAACCCACGACATCCCTTTGCACCCTCGAGCTGCTGGAGCCAACCAACAAGCCAAGGTACTCCTTCCACTTTTTCACAGTCCATTGCTTGAGGCAGATCCTCAGCTCAGGGACCAGTCCACTGGGCCTGAGGGGCCCCAAGGCCCAGACATGCCTCCTGCAGGGAGCACCCCCCCTACCATGTCCCCACCACATACCCACCATGCCCCTGCCACTCCCCACCAGTTCTGGGCTGAAGGACTTTTCAGTCAGTAATTGTGTGGGTTCCTTTTATAATCAGAAAATCATCTGGATGGTATGAAAGAGCATTTTTGAACTTTCTCACATGCTTTTGCTTACACAGAAAAAATCTTGGATTTTGGAAATAAGCAAGGAAAATAGGAGAGAATATTAAAACATTTGGTTGTTGGGATGCTTGACATCTATGTCTAGTCATATGTTTGAGTTTCAAAGGAAGAGAATTAACTGGCACTCCATTTCAATCGTGGACACATTTGGTTAGAGCAAGGATTATCATCTGTTTTAGGAAGAGGGCTCTTTGTTCTTTATAAAAATATCAAGATGATGGAGGAAGAAGCAATAGAAAGTATGTATCTTGGCCTGTGATAACTCTTGGGATAGGTACTTCCAGGTTCCTGCGCTGGCATGGCGCCACATGTAAGTAGCACGCCCACCCCCTCCCAGTTCCCCAGAAAGGGGGAGAGAGAGAGAAAAGTGCTGGAGGAGGCACCAGGATCCAGGTGCCTTGGCTTAAGCCTAGGATTTTAAAGGGATGAGTTAGCTCAGCCATTCTTGCCAGTCTTACCTGGAGAGTAAATCAAATAAAATCAAAGCATTTTTCCAACAGGCAAAGATGTGTAAAACCTTCTTTCCCATAAAATTCTCATTCCTCCCATCAGTTTATTAATTGCAAGAAAAACCAATACCACTAATGATTGAAACATTCCTTTCCAAGGCCGTGCTTGTGATGAATTTTCCCCTTCTTCTTGACCAGTAGAGACCTAATAGTTACTTGGCAAGGCTGACTTTGCCCCCCATCTCCTCAGAGGGCCCAGAAATGCCCAAGTAAAGGCACCTGTCCAGGGAAAGTTAGTTTTGCTAACATTTTCCAGCCACTCTTTTTCATTTATTGATCTTGTACTTGTTGTTTACACCTGTAGAAAATTATTCTTTGAAAACCACTTGCAGTTATGAATATCTTTTATAACTCAGAATATGTAATTGGATAGCAAAAGTGTTTCTTAGAACTACCAATGGTCTCCCCATCACCCCGTGGCATAGTCTCTCTTAAGGGCTGATACCAGGTCTTCTCTCGGCCAGGCGAGAGCCACTCATGGTCTAAGAGCTGCAGCACTTAATTCAAAACTTTTCCCCCTTAGTGGATGTGACCATTTTTCTATTTTGTTTGTCACATTTCAGCATATAAATACTAGAAGACCAACTGCAACACATTTATTAAATTGGTATATTTTATAATAAATTTGTGATTCAAAACCTAACTCTGACTTTATGACACACTACCTTTACAAAAGTTTGCAAAAATCCATCTGTATCGCCTTGTATATAAATAAATGTCATGAAACAAACTAATTACATTCTTGTTTACATTATATGACTTTAAAATAATTTTCCTTAAAGTATCCTACAAACAAGAAAATGTTGTATCTCTCAACGAGTTCTAGAAAACATTCACGACTCGCCTCTGAACAAACCTGAGAGCGCAGCTTCAGGAAGTTCAGCAGGCTGGTGGCTTCACACCCCCAGTTTGTGAGCGACAACCACAACCACACTGACATTTATTTATCTAGAGGTCAGAGGGTCTGCGTATCAAGAATGTTTTAAATTCTTAAAGGACTCGGTCCTGGAAAATGTCTTTTTGGATGAGGTTTTGTGGAATCTCACAATCTGTTTTGTGAAAACAGGTGAGAGTCAAGGTTTTGCTAGATGACTAGGTGATAGATAAATGATCAGTCAACCTAGAAACATCCTAAATGGGTTAATAATTGAGTGACCATCACACGTTTTCCAAAATCAGCAGCAACTCAGATCAATTTCTGATCCTTGTTCTTACACATTGTTACAGAGTTTCTACGTATAACTTACATCTCTCCTTATCAATTCGTTTCTGAAGTACTTGCAGCCTTGATTGGGATCCTTGCCCCACCTCAATGCATGTTCTTTGCCCTAAATGCTAGATTAGTCATCCTTTTTAACAGGATGTGTGATTTTTAACCAGATAATTGATAAACCACATTTTGTCTAGACTAGGCGGGCCTACGTCCAACCCCTTCCTCCCCCCACCCCCACAGCTGGGTATTGGTTCCGGAATGCAACCTGCACTTTCTAAATGGTGACCATGTATCTCTAGTTAGAAAGCTTACCTTGGTATCCTTGGTGACTTAGTGCCCAAGCTTTGATCTGGAGCCTGCTATTCGGAACCCCAGCTCCAATATCTCCCCACCCTCCCTTTCCCCAGGCAAATTTCCTTGCTTCCCAGGAGCCATCTCTGTAGGAAGTAGACAAAGGGAATTCTGCACCTCAAGGATGACCTAAATTATGGCTTCTTGGCTTTTAAGACAGTAGGAGCATGGTGACTTTTTTGGGCTAAAAAACAAACTAAAAGATACGATAACAGCCTTTGGAAATGGCACAGAGAGTGTAGCTTCCCTCTCAGATGTCAGCGTGTACACATACAAGGGGTGTTAGTCTTTATAATGTCTGGAGTGTAGAGCCAGAGGGACCTGTGGGATCATCTGGTCCGACCTTTTCACAGACAAAGAAACAAAGATAACCCATAACCTTGGTGGTCTGACAGAATTACAGTGCCCTCAGCAGAGCTTCCTTCAGAGACTGATTGACAGCTGTTTAACTTTTAAAGTCTAAAAGCCTTTGCACCATCTCTTCAGAAAACCAAAATGATGAGAGTCCATCTGATCTGCTTCTGCAGGTCTGATCCTCCACACTGCTGGTTCGCTGCAGCCTGAAAGGAACTCTGCGCAGCTGGAAGTGCAGGAGCCTTTGCCCTGTGGTCATCTGTCTGGACCTGCCTGCGGAAGTAATCCCTCAGCAGCAGGGAAAAACACACATGCGGCACACAGTGAACTCCAAAGGGGGCTCTTTCAGAAGGAAACCAAAGCCGACTCACTCGCCTGGAACACCTGATGGTGAAACTGACCTGGCCAAACAAATACAAAACCCTTTTCATCCAGACCACAGAAACAGAAGCCCCGCTCCATCCTGCTAGTAGCTTTGGCCTTAGTATTGCTCTCATTTCAAGTGGGTCTGCTTTTCAGTGTGTGCGTGCGTGCGTGCGTGTGTGTGTGTGTTTTATTTTTAAGGAGAAAATAAAATGCAAGTGTACTCATCACAAACTCTCCGAATTCACTGTGCTCCCTGGTGTGCACCATCTGGTACGGTATTAGACATTCTTGGTGTGTGTGTGGCCTCCTCCATTGCTGTGAGTGTCTGTGAGAGTTCTTGCCACAGGAGTGCTAGTTCCAGCACGATTCTGCAATGCTGGGGTGGAAGTGAATGGACTGGGCTTGATGTTCCATGTCAAGTGTGCTTTATAGGGTTTGAAGAAAATGCCCAACTGGCAATGCAGGTACACATTATCCATTGTCAGTTAGGTATTATCTGAAGCTAGGTTTCCCATGTGGTTGCCCAGTTTATTTGAGCGCCTACCTCAGGGGTATAATTGGGACAGGAGACAGGCAAGGACAGGTGAGTGGATCCTTGGTTGGATATAAGATCCAACATGTCTGTGATTTTTTAAAGAAGTCGAGGCCTCATTCATATGGTGTCGTGCCATTTCCACAGTGCTGACGTGGGCATCTTCCGTGGTGGCATCAGGAGGCAGTGGTTCACAGGACAGCTAGTTGTTCACATTAAAGCTCACCAAGAATCAGAAAATAATAGTTTTAAGCCAAACCATTTCAAAAGACATGGATGAGGAGAACAAACAGACTTCCTTAACAAGGCAGTCTCCTCTCTGTGACCCACAGATGAGGTTCCTCGCTCAAACCCTTTCTAGAACAGTGCTACTCAATGCACGTTATACCATAGGTGTACTCCAGAGTCCAGGAGGGAGGGAGGATGGGGGGGAAGGGAAAGAGAAAGAATCTGAGGCCCAATAACTGTTACTGAACTGAGAAGGGGACATGGAAGAAAGTGAACACAAGGTGGTGACATTTTTTCCTCAGCAAGAAGAGTCCGGTGCTTCTTAGAGGCAGACAGATTTAAATCCCGCACAGCTACTGGCTCGCCACTTTGCACATAATGGATGCTTGGTGAATAACTGCCTATAGGCATTACAAAACTACTTTGGTAGCATCAGAGCTTAATCTGATGTTGACTTTTTTTTAAATCTACCAATCACCAAAACCATGAAACCATTTTAACTAGGGTTAGAATTGAGTTTGGGAAAGCCCAGGAGTGTGCTATTGATACTGACACCATGCTGTTGCATCCTGGCTTGTTTTGTCATTTAAATTAGCAACTACAATACCACAGAAGAAGACTAAGCAGGGAGGGGGATAAGCAGTCATTCATTGTGAGGGTCTTAGAAAGGTATCATGGACCGGAAGAGTCAGGTGTGGGTAAAATCTCCCCCTGCTGTGGGGAGGAAGTCTCAGTTTCACTGTCTGTTCCTACTACACCTGAGCTCTCCAGGGCAAGCCCTGTGTCTTTTTCATCCTTTCCCCAGCTCCTGATACACAGAAAACACTCAATAAATGCTTGCCAGACTGAACACTATAAAAACCCAGCAAAAAAATATCTAGAAAAGAAGTAGTTCCCAGAATATGATGCCTCAAAAAGCTAAAGACAGCAGCAAAGGGTAGGTTGAACAACAGGGATGTTATGCTTTAAAAATACCAGTCACAAAACGTGAGCAGGAAAACATCAAGGAGGAGGGGGCATGCACACAGTTTGCTTGGGTTTGGGTGTTCAAGATGAGAGCTTGGCCAAGATCTCCTGAGAATGTGTTCATCTATTGAAAGAGCCCCCAATCTGATTTAATAAAGGAGATTTACAAAGAAGAGGAGGAGAAAAGGGAGAGAGTCGATTCAGAAAACAAGACCACTCAGGCGATGTTCCAGGAATATGACTTGCTGCCAGATTTTCTAAGCTTCTAGTGCTTCTTCGGGGAGCTCAAGATTTTAACATAGCTGGAATCAACAGAGAATCTCTTTTACTACGAGTAAAAAGCTCATGGAGAGCTTCATTTGTCCCTGCTGCTGTAGCGCTCCTAAAGAGACAGGAAGGGAAAAGTGGGGCAGAAAACAGGTCAGCAAGCTCCTGGGCTTGGAAAAAAGGGTCTCTGTGATAGCCTGGACACTTGCACCGGGGCCAACAAGGAGGAAGTTCTGCACCAGCAGACCTGTGGGGCTTATGGAGAAAGAAAGAAAGTTTTTCCCTAGACATATGGCAGCATCACCCTCGTGGGATTGCTGTTCCAGGCACCAGAAAGACTCAGTGCACTGGGCCCAGGATATTTGGGGCTTGGTTTCCTCAGTGTGGTAATTCAATGCTTCAGGAGGTCCCCTGAGAGGAACAATTTGTGACTCCTGATGTTGACAGGGCAGAATTGCTACCACATTTTGTCCAAGGTGGTTGTCAATTTGGGGAAAGCATAGGTACTAGAAGTTTCAGATTCATAGAACCCCAGGCTTACAGAGCTAGAAAATATCTCAATGTTCAAAAACTAAGCCCTTATATAATTGTTTTCTTTTGCATTTAATGGAAAAGGAAACCAAGTCCAAGAAAGATTAAATTACTTGGCTGACCAGCCAGCCTTCCCTGTAGGCCCCACTCTGGTCCTCCTCTAATTACTTCACTCCCATGTCCAAGAAGACATGCCTACTAGACCTAGAACTCTGGAATTTGCTGCCCAAATGGTCTAAAGTCTGCTTCTAGGGCCCGTATGGGGCTCTTTCTTGGGTCAAAGGTAATCTTTGATCATGCAAGCTCGTGTCTATACATAACACATTAGGCCCCTTGGAAAACCAGGAGAGAGATGAAAGGGTAGGTGGGCCATGGGGCAGCTGGCTCTGTACTACCATAGTCCAGTGTGGAACTCTAAAGAAACCAAGAAGTCAAAATATGAACCTAGGTCATCATGAAGGTCATTATTTAGCACTTTGTTAGCTTGACTTATAACTTTTAAGTATTGAGGCATGTATGGTATGAGGACCCCCAAAACGTACTCTCCTCAGAGCCTTTCCCAAAGCTCACCGTGACACACACTCAGCTTTCTGAGCAGATGCCTGATATCAAGGCTCAGATGTACATGTTTGTAAGTCAAGCTTTGCCCAAACTAGTCATCCTCTTGGTTTTGTACCTTAGTAACTTTCATGAGGGATCACAGCTTATTGTAGCCAAATCCCATAGTCTTGGGTCGTGGTGAGTTTCAGGGGGCACATTTCATCTACAAAGCACTGCACAGACAGCACCTGGTCAGACAGCATTCTGGGCACGCAGCTTAGGAGTGGTGCTATTCTCGTCTTCCACCAGAGCTCAGCAATCTCTTTGGTCTTGAATGATACAGGCTGCCGAGTCGTTCTTCTTAGAGCTACTGGAGAAGCAAAGGGGTAAGAGAGAAGAGAGAAAAGAACATTCAATGCTCCATGTTCTGGGAATAAAGCAGTGAACAAGACACAGCCTCTGTTTTCATGGTGTTAACATTCTCACACATGGGTCAACAAACTTTCTTTGAAGGGCCAGGTAGTAAACATTTTCAGCTTTGCAGGTCATATAGTCTCTCGTTGCAACACTCAACTCAGCTGCGGAAGTACAGAAGCAGGGGTGGACAGTACCTAACGAAATGGGTGAGGCTAGACTTGGCCCACAGCCGTGCTGTGCCCACCCCTGTTCTAGTAAGTAAGCAGAAGTTATGTTAGAGGGACAGCAAAGGCAGCTCTGGGTGCCTTAGAGGGACCCCAAGACCACTTGTTTCCTCTCCCCTGTTTTTTTGTAGGGACTTCAAGTAACTCCAGTTTAACTGGGATAGCAGATGTTCAAAGATAAGTCTAAGGACAGAGAATGAGGATGATTTTCAAGCTCAGGAACTATCATTTCAGATCTCCAATCTTGGCTGATGCCCCAGTGTACAAGATGATTCTTAGCGATAGCAACCCACAGCAGCCAGCCCATAGGAAGGTGCAGCTGAGCCTGGGTTTTTACCTGCCTCACATCCACCTCACCTCAGGGAATAAAACATCTTATAGGCACAGCATCAATTCCTACCTACCCACCAGGTGTCTGAGGTCCCAGGGCCCGAACATCCATGTTCATCCCCTCAGCTGACTGTCTAAGAAGTTCTATAGAAACAAAATGGCATGGTCGGTAGGTGGATTAATTTTTAAACTTGGCTCTTGGGCAAAAATGTCAGGGAAGAAACTGAAAGTCCCCATTTATTTTTAGTCCCACCTTGAACAGGGGCTCTCTTTTTTGGATAAGACATGAGCTTTGAGAACTATAGAATGCTAAGCAATTATAAGGTAAGTTTACATATTTTTGTTATTTTAATTGTCATCACTCTCTGAGATTCTAAACTGATTAGTTTTTCACTTTTAAAATTTGTATTCAGCATTAAAAACAGATTATTCACATAAAAACATAAAAAAATAACGTTAGTTCTCTCTGTCTCATATCACACACAAAAATAAATTCCAAATGGATCAAACTACTCTCTTTAAAAAATAAAAAGCCATTTTTATTTAGTAATTTTTTTGTGTGTGTGAGGAAGATCAGTCCTGAGCTAACATCTGCCAATCCTCCTCTTTTTGCCGAGGAAGACTGGCCCTGGGCTAACATCCATGCCCATCTTCCTCCACTTTATATGGGATGCCGCCACAGCACGGCTTGACAAGTGGTGCGTTGGTGCACACCCAGGATCCGAACCAGCGGACCCCAGGCCACCGCAGCAGAGCGGGCGCACTTAACCGCTTGCGCCACCCAGCTGGCCCCTTAGTAATTTTTAAATTGCGAAACAATCACAAATCTG